TAGGCTCTCGACAGTCTATTTTGCATATAAGTCCTGATATATATATATATATATATATATATATATATACACTGGGGTAGCGCTAGCAATTTTTATCGCTTAGCCAAATCACTTCTTTTTTGTCAATTTGTTATCAAAATGGTTATAATTTGACTAAAACAAGTCAAATCAAGCCCTTTTTCTTTAGCCAATTTAAGAAAGTTTTAGCATTTGGCTAAATTGGAGAGTGTTAGCGCTACCCCAGATATATATATATATATATATATATATATATATATATATATATATATATATATATTTCTGATTAAATAGCCAAAGTTAAGTTATAATAAATAATTTTTTGGCACCCCTTTTTTTCTCATGGAAAAAATGCATTGGGTACTGCTTTGTTTTGTTTTAGGTACTGGTTATTTTTATGCTCTAAAACTGCCTGAATTGTGGATTTGAAATTCCCCTCTAAGAAAAAATAATAATATAATAAATAATAAATTAATAATAAATTAAAAACAATAAAACAAAATTACTCATTAAACAACCTATCACTTTTGTCAAACCAAATGAAAGTAACTTACCAGGTACATCTCTTTACCTCACTGGAGATGTTCTCTAAACAAGTTAAGGGAATGAAAAATCTATTTTCTAAACATCTATAAATCTATTTGCGGTATCTTGTGATCACGGTCTGTGCCCTGAAAATACCCCATGGCGTAATTACGGGCAGCGTGAGCCAGTTACTTCCAAAGCTGTAATTAATTCTCGGCGCTGCCAGTAATTACGCCGCGGGGTATTCAGGGCACAGACCGTGATCACAAGATACCGCAAATAGATTTATAGATTTTTAGAAAATAGATTTTTCATGTGAACGAAGCCTAAAAAGCACTCGTGAATGGCAATTACTCACTGCTACCAAAATCCAGTTAGCAATCTTCAAAATCCTTTTGAATGATACATGGTGAGAAAATGTCCAGTGTGGTAGACATGGACAGAACAGTGCCACTGTGCTAGTGAAGTGAGAATATAAACCACTAAAATCAGGGCATCCAACAGCTTAGTACCTGGGCCATATTTATGAGCACATTTGGGAAGAAGAAAGTCAAAATGTTTAGTCACTCTAAGCAGGGAATTATATCGGTATAATTCCCTGCTCTGGGCACATATTGTTCTGAATGTACAGGGTGACACAAAAAAAAAAAAAAACGGTCATCACCTAAACTTGAATAACTTTTGAAATAAATAATCAATTCCTTTTATTTTTCAGATATATCAAGAAAAATTAATGTTCTAAGAGTCTACCAAATTCGACCTTCGAGATGCCATAGACTACTGAGGAAAAGACATTTATAGTTGCTTGGGCTGCAGACAACAGAGTCTCTAACTGCACCAATGTTGTGTGGTGTCCTTGATGATTTCGGTCGTCCAGAGTGTGATTGTCTGTTAGTGTCTTTACAATTGAGGTTATGCACAGTCCCATGGGTTCTGAACTTGGTGACCCATCTGTAGATCATTGAGTAGACAGGAAATTCTCGACATCTGAACCGTTCTTTGAATTGCAATTGAGCTGCGTGGATAGACTTCAACCGAAAATATGCCTCAACTATAAATGTCNGTGTATCATGTTTTGTTTCATATTTGTGTGTCACCCTGTACTTCTTGTCTTTACATGCAAAAAGGACAAAATGTGTACACTCACCTACCACTCAGGGTTCTTCTGTCCAGCCCTCTGCAGTGGGCAGCCTAGAAAAAAGTGTAAAAGTAAATTTTGCTCATCCTCAGTTTCCAAGGTTACTGCTCACCTCCCCTACAACCAGCTCTGTCTACTCTCAACATACAGTACACTGTAGTCGTGGTCAGTGATGCTAACAGAACGTGATTCCCTGTTAAGGGTACACTTCTTAGCATTGGTTTTAGACAACTGGTATGGCGTAGTGCAGGCAGCAACACTAGCAGTGACACTAGCAATACCAGAACTAGTAGTAAGTAGGTAGGCATGAATATATACCAGTACGTCGGTTATCGTAATGTCAATGAAATTGATTGTTGAATTCTCACCCTCTATTAATTAACCAAAAATCTGATTTAAGAAAGCTCAGTTGTTATCTCTTAGATCTAGTGCTTCACGAATTATCATCATAAAAACTACTGGATTACTATATTTTAACATCAGTATTTTTTAAGTCAAAATCCCACATATTTCACCTTTTGTGGAAGTTCGTCGGCTAATAAAGTCATGCTTTTAAACAGGACAATGCGCATGCGTATATTTCTTCCGGCCAAAAATTGTGCGAAAATGGCGTCGTGAAGGTTAATGTGAAATTGGTAGGTATGTCTTGGTTGTTTACTTGTTCCAGAAGCAATACACTTTGAAAACAAACTAACTAACTCTATGTTTAATCCTTATGGAATCTTTTGAAGAATTTCAAAATCGTGAAATGCTCTGAATCACGAAAACAGTGTTCTCGAATGTTAGATGGGTCTCGCAAACGAAGTAAAACAAGAAGAATGTTGTTTCTTTTCTGTAACAAACAAAGATGGCAAAACGACTGTATTTTACAAACTTTTTACCCTTCTTCGATGGCGAGGCATTTCTTATTTATTTTTCATAGTCATTTTTTTATTTGTTTTCGTAGAATTATTCCTGCTTCGCCTTGAAATGCTGTTATGAATTATTCCGTGCTGCTGGCAGTATTCCCCACCCAGCAGTTAGACTAGTTTAATCCACAATCATAGTAACCAATGTAAAGTACAACAGCAAGATAATTGCTCAGACCTAAATGGCAATATTGCAGTGTTTATTTTGCTATTTTTTATGACATTTAGGCTGCCCAGTCTTCCAGTACATTTCAGAAGGAAATGCAACAAAGGGTACTTTATTCAAGTTTTTTTAATGTTCTGAATTGTGAAAGATAAGTAGATTTGCAGAATATGTAGACATGGAAAATAAGACTTTGAGACATTCTCAAAAGTGCCTCTGTATACCTTCAAATACCTGATATTCAACTGAATTTAGTTTCCACAGATTGTAGGGGAAGAAAGAACATTTTACACACATTGGATTTGTGTCGAGGTATAATTGGAATCATTCCAATTTCAAAACTTGCATGCCAGTTGTAGCAAGTTTATACTTGTCATGACTGCAGCTCATCTGCATTATGTAATAACACTAGAGTGTTGGTATTCTCACGCTGCTGGTGAAATGTGATTGGTTGTTCACGTCCTTGGTGTAAAAAGGCATTGATCTGTTTTGTCTGAGTTGACCTCAAGGTTTCAGTGTGTATGTGATAGAGTTAAATATATCATGTGTGTTTCTGACTGTGCTAGTGTTATTGTAGTAGGTCAGGGACAGGTTATAATAATTCATTAGGTAGGCCATCATCTATGTTTTAAAGCATTATTTATCTAACCATTGTATGCTGAAATGTTTGTCCATATTTTTACAGTCATCTAGTTTTATATACTGACTTATTATCTAGTCTCATATACTGACTAATTACTTTAGAGAGATTTATGGTCAATCTGAAATTATTAATTAATTGATTTATTTAAAAAATTATTTTTAAAAAAAATTACTTTAGTGATTAAACTCTTTCATCACATCTGTAAATATTTTACAGGTCATGATTGTTCTTTTTTCAGTGCCAAAAAGGACAGCATAATATATTAATCAAACCAATTGTGAGTCACATAATTTTTGTGATAAAACAGTGCCCTCTGCTGAATTGCCTGTAGATGAGACAAATTAAGTGCCACTCTAAACAGACACCACAAAACCATTGTAGGAAGATCACTTCAAAATAAGCAACAGCAAAACCAGGAAAGACCATACCTAGGCAATCCCAAGAGCAGTACAACAGTGGCAGAGCTTGCCTCCCTAGTAATAACCAGAGGATAGGAGAGTGCAATACCATGGACTATACTGTAATTGTGGTAACGGTTCTGGCAACCGTGTTTCCATATGTTCAAATGGTGCTGTCATCTCCTACCACTGTTGGCACCACTTTGGCCTCTGTAACCAGTAAGTAATGTTACTAGAAAGTGAACATCTTGTTATTAACCCCATAGGACCCAGTTAATGCTGACCCATAAAGTTCTGCTGTGCCCAATTAATTCTGTGAGCTAGCCTTGAAAAGCCAGGTCACTTCAGTAAATTGGCCATAATTTATTTGTTTGCCTTTATTACCCATACAAAGTACACATTTTTAAAAAGCCAACATTTCAAGCTAAATAAAAATAGAATTACATTTAAATTCAACGTGCTGTACAAAGAATTATGACCGGTTAAAAACTACATTTTCATTTGATAATGGGTGAAATAAAACAAAGTTGATTTATCTTATGCACATCAATTTTTTATTTCTCCATAAATTTGCCTGAAAATTCACAAAGATGATGTCAATTATAGTAACTTTCAATCCAGGAAATTTCAGCAAGTTATCTTCATTAATTTCCAAGTTATGCTCGTTTTGCTACCAGGTATACCTATACTTGAGCCAGCTTTTCAGCTCACCTGAACATCGTGGCCAGAGCTGAATAGAAGTCAATTTTTAACACCATCTATGGCAAAAACATCTTAAAAACTTTTATCATGAATAAAGGGATATCTTCCCCTCTGTCTATATCATTGTCACTCGAAAACACCTGATCAGTGTCGTAGTTTTCAATCATTTCAATAACAGTATCCATTCGCAGGCCTCTTCCGTAGTGAGAAGTCGCCATTTTGATTTTACTTTCTTCAGCTACGTCTAGGAAATAGCCGATTTCTCGCTCATATATATTTCTATCGTCCTTTACATCATAAATAAATGAATATCATCGTCACTGTCTATGTCACTGTCACACGAAAACTTCTCATCAAAGTCCGGGTTTTCAGTTATTTCAATAACAGTATCCCTTCGCAGGTCCCTACCGTAGCGAGGAGCCGCCATCTTGATTTTACTTTCTCCACCTAAGTCTTGAAAATCGCCGTTTTCTCGCTCATATATATTTCTATCGCCTTTAAAAATGGTGGCAATGAGAGACAAGAAACATACCCGGATGTTAAACTATATATCATTTTATGACTCACGATACAAAAGAGTATAGAAGACGATCTTTCCAAGATACGCACATATGCAGTTCTGGGCGTTTGGGGTAAGCGATAATTGAACCGCACATATGCGGTGACGGGCTCTATGGGGTTAAGACCCACTTCAGTGCTGCCTTATGGTCAAGCAGGAATTCAGCCAAATCATGTTTTCTTACCTTTCCATTATCTGCAAATTTCTTCAAGTAATCTGTCAGCTCTTCTTTCATGTCATTGTATCCTATAAAATAAAATATTATAAACCTTATGTATCTATAATCAGTTATGAAAATGATCATCACTGTGTCCCACTATTTATGATCATATGGACAAATTCCTGCAAATCTTCATCTTTAATAAATTACCATACTGAAGTTGTAAAACAAAACAAAGAAACTAATACCCCTCCCTTCCCTCCTCTTTTCCACCAGGTCAGTTACCTCTTAGGACCTCCACTTGCTGTATTCTACCCATACTGGACAGTACATTCAAGCCACGGTCATACTGGGACTGACCGGGCTCCTTCCCGCGCCCCCTTTCTTCATACGCATGTACAGTGTCTCCTTCATCTGGGAGAAATGGCACTTGTTTTTCTTCATACAGTTTCTGAAAGTAATAACATAATTTCATAAATGGTCTCAGATTATAGAAAATTTTTATCCTAAGTGACAATTTAACTGCAACATATAACTTTTTAATGTGTTTAATGAAAGTATATACCAAAGTATATTCTACAGCTGATCTTCAATTTTAGCAAAAATCTAATATTACATTGAAATAGGTTCTGAAATTCTACACACATACAAAAAAAAACAAAAAACTACAATTTGAAAATAAATCAATCTAAAAACTCATCTGAAAATGACCAACCTTATGTTCATATTAATAATAAGCTAACTAATGCAAGCAGAATTTGGGACAAAATTAGTGAAAATCTCAAGTCTTTAAACATGAACCTGGGCCTTTGAAAAAATGTGATAACATTTATTGTGGTGATAAATCTAGAAACATTCTCAGGAATTACCAGAAGTTTCACAACTGAATTAAAAGTCATGGAAACCAAAATTCCATAGAAAAAGCTCAAGTCCTAGCCTTCCATTTCATTCTAAATATAAATCAAAATGGATCCAAACTGGTGAAACAACCACTGCTGTCGACTCCTTTGTTTTTTGGCTGTTTTAGAAGTACAATTGTGATAAGTGAGAACTCACTATGCAATCATTACAAAGACACAGTTTGGCCCTCCAACCATTTGGCCAGTAGGTGGCACCAGAGGCAGTGCGTGGAATGTCTCTCTGTCGCAACTCCTGGAGTTTACACAAAGAAGAAGACTCAGACAGGTTGGCTGAACACTGCCCATTTTTCTGTTCAATTTTAGCTTCGACATTTGTGTGTTCTTGTGAAAGTGGCTTTATAGCTTCAGCTGTCTGGTTTTCTGACTCTTTTCTCTCAGATGTCTGACTTTCTGACCCTGTGGCATCAGTTTTCTGGCATTCTGATTTGGTTCCAATAGTGTCAGTATCTGTGCTGCCAGCTTGAACTGTCTCCACATCTACACCAACTGATGTGTCAGCTTTTTCAATCTGTGTGATTTCTGAAATAGTGAAATACATCTTTTAATGAACAACTAAACATGCACAAATACTGTTATCAATATTAATCCATAATCAGCCATGTTCTACTGAAGTTAAATACCTACTCTTCATCAAATCTTCAAATAGTATTGTTCAGAAATGAAAATACAATATTTGGTTTCCCAAGCACTGGTGCCTTACCAACACTATGTACAGCATATGGCCACAAGAAGTCACATTTCTTCATACATCCGTCACAAATCATCTCCATGAAATCTTGGTTCTGAGGCGGAGGAGTGCCCAGGTGCTGAAAATGGAGACAACATACTTAAATGAGAGAGGCTGGAGAGGGACAGGAGCATATTATGTGAGGTATACAAGGTGACCTTGTGATTTTAAAGAAAACCAAGATGTAACCATTCTGAATGAATGAATGACCATGAATTTGTGTATTTGATTCTTGCCAGGTTATTCCACTACAGAGAAAATGTGAAAGACTTACTCTTCCATGATACCAGTCCTCACAGATGACACACTGAATCATCTCATCCTCTACCTGAAACACAGCAAGAAACCTTATTTCTGTTAATATAATACAGCACAAGCTGAACTGATATTATAGATGTTAAGACTTCAAGATATAAGTTCAATACGCAGTGTTATAATGCCCTTTACCACTATCAGTTATCATAAGTACAAATTTTCTTATAAATCATTCTTCTCATACCAAGCAGAGTACACAAAACACTGGTCAATTACTGTAATGAGTTACAAGTATGTCTTATGATATTTCCCAAAATAATACCCTGAATCCTGATAAGCACACATGGGATAAATACGTAAAACCCCTGTTATACTGTTTTATGTCATAAGAGTGATGACTACAATAATCTTGTTACTGGAAGTAAAACTCCCCAAAATGCGAGGAAGTAAAACTCCCCAANATGCGGTGACGGGCTCTATGGGGTTAAGTTATCATTGAGAATATGCAGTGGATATTCATTGCTATCTTGTAGAAAGAACTATGCCCTTATTAATCTTCAAATTTATAAAAAATGGTTATTGTGTTTTTATTCAAGTTTAAAATAAATACTCTTGGCACTACTCAAAATGTAAGATTGGAGAGCACATATCAAGATAAAGACTTTGGAATTATCAATTTTGTCAGGTTCACCTTGCCGTGACCCAGGGGAATTGGTGAATGGACAGAGACTGCCAGTGTACCAGTCTGGGCAGGAGTACCACCCTTTCCTCTCTTCTATTTCATTTCAATGTAAACAGGGCTACACATTAGTGGGCTACTCCAGTATGTTGTGCACCAGCAATGGACGGTGGAATCCACCTGATATGCCAATTTGTACTAATAGTAAGGAATTTGTATTTACTTCAGTAAATGACGTTATGTACAATTGTATTTGTTTTTGATTTTAAATAGTTGTTTTTATTGTGATTTTGCTTATTTTTAAAAAAATTTGACAGGAGTTGTTGAGTTGAAATTTGTAAGAATATTCTAAAAATTGGAGACAAACTTTTTCTATGTGAAGAATAAATTTAATATAATAAGACACAGCTCCATGTAGACGAGCTTATGGTGGAATAAATTCTAGAATCTCCTGTTCGAATTGCAGCCAAGTGCCCAGTTCCTTTGGTAAAAAATGGGCGGGTGCTCAAGATCCCTGGGGGGTTTACTCCAGGCTCTCAGACACAGGTGATATGTGACACAGGACACACCTTGTCTGCCTCAGATGGCAGCATTCTCTGCTCAGCATCTGGTACCTGGTCCAGCATCCCTTCCTGTACAGGTATGTGTTTACCTGGTCTAGTATTCAGACTTGTACAAGTTGATGTTCACTTTGATTTGTATAACTTCAACCTTTTGGTTGCTTTGATTTCAAATAAACTTATTATATTATCTTAATAGACAGGCATGTGTGAAGCTGGTCTAGCAATACTATATTTATAGGTATTTCCTTGATATAACATTCTCACTTGTACAGGTATATATTCACCCGGCCATTACATCCCAATGCACAGTTGTGTTTGCCTTGTCTAGCAATCTTTGTTTACATGTATGAATACAAAGTACTGCTTTCATTGTGTTTCCAGCATCTGTGTGTCCACATCCTATTACCATTAGTGGGGCCTACTACAAGGTGTATGGGGAGCAGGTGGGCAGTGGATGGTCTGAGGGTTCAGAGGTGGTCTACTCCTGCAGGTCTGTTACCAACCAGGACACCAATGACCGGCCTCTCAGGTGTAAAGATGGCATGTGGCTTGGAATACTGCCATCTTGTGGTAAGAAGTATTACCAGGCTTCTCATTATCAAACCTTGTCAATTACTTATTAAAACTGAGGGTACTGGGAGCAGTCAGGGGATATGATAGATTTGCTTTTGTTTTCAGAAATGTGAATGTAATTGTCACTGACAAAAATGTCCACACACATATATATATATATAATGGGTTATTAGTAAGATTTTTAATATGCAAATCCTGAGGATGGTTTTCAAATTTATATCTGTCTTCACCAAATTAGGAAATCATCAAAGAATGTCTTACATTTTACTTTTTTACTAGAGAATATTGTTATACATCTGCTGCAGGTTTATAGGTTGTAAATGTAACCTTCTAACATTTTGCAAATTGAGACCATTTCTAATCCAAGTTCTATTAGGTCTGGAGTTTGTTATAATTTGTGATCTTTACTCTTCATCTTTAGAAAATAAACAGTGCAAGCAGCCCCAGGACATAGAAAATGGCCGGTGGTACATTGTTGGAGTGTCATCACCTTTCTCTGAGGGAAGTCAGGTGGTTTATGAATGTGAAGACAATGTGAATTACTCCCTGATTGGAGCAAAGACCATTGTCTGCACCAACAAGGAATGGAAGCCATACAATTACAAAACCTCTTTTTTTAACCACTACCCTCCAAGGTGCATCAAAGACAGTGGAAAAGGTGAGAAGTTAAACAAAAGCTTAAACTTGTTTTCTTAAACTTGTTTTCATAAAGACTGATTACCAATTTATATAGATTTTTCTGGCTTTTTATCTGGAAATCTGGATAATTGGGTGTTGTATTTATGCCCCTCAGACGTTTCCATATAGAGCGTCTTGCCTTTGATGCTTGCATTGAGAATTTTTTTGAAAGGTCCACCCTCATTTCTGAATTTATTTTAAGTTTTAATTTGTTTTGAGAAAAATGATCAATATATATTGATAAACCGTGTACATGTTCCCCAGGCTGACCCTTACAGGTCATAAGATTTTGATGAGAAGTGGAAATTGTTTATTTCAGTAACAACCTGTGAAGATCCTGGTAACATACAACATGGCAGCAGACTGTGTGACCCGCACAAAGACTGCGACCAGTTCTACTCGGGTGTATCTGTACACTATTATTGTCTTGATGGCTACGAGATTGTAGGAGGCAGCACAGTCATCACATGTACTGAGGATGGAGTTTGGACTACCAATAAACCTAGCTGTAGGGAAGGTGGGTTGGTTGGTTAAGTCTTTTAAAAGTAGGTATGATAAATAATAATTGAAAATCTATGAATTTGTTCTAGTGTTCCAGCAATAAGGCTATTTAGGGTGTTTATTTGATGCAAGGTAACTAGCATGTGTTTTTCTCCTGTTACATGATCACTATAATATGAGCTAAAAAAGCAAGTAACTTATCACAACATAGAAACAATTGGTAAGGAAGTAATTTGCTAAAGACCCTTTTCACATCAAGCAGTATACTCAGTTGTCAGTCTCTCAAAGTAAATTGACACAGATTTTATTTTTTTAGTATACTGCTCAATGTTAAAAGGGACAAAATGTGTTTTTACCTGTGAGGTATAAGATTTCAAAAAAAAAAAAAAATTATAAAGAAACAATGAAATCCTGTTTCACCATAAGCATAGTAATCTTACAACCTTTCCTGCATTTGATTTTCCAACTTTCAGCTGCTTCCACTTCGGACCTGGGGAAAGATGACCACTCCGAGACACTAGCTGTGGTCATTGCCACGTCAGGCAGTGTGCTGGGGATCCTGGTGCTGATACTGATAGCTGTGGCAGTGAAGAGGAGGAAGTCCGACATACGATTAGGGCGTCCCATCACACCGCCTCCACCTTCATACTCTCGCCACTGTGATTCAACATCATTGGATGAACATGACCGTCTTGCTCTGATAGCATTTGCTGATGGTGGCCACCTGGTTCTACCCACGTATGCAGAGGCCACTAGAACTCGTGGTAGCACCGGTAACAACAGCAGTAGTAGTAATAGTGTGAGAGGTACGCCCTCTAGGGGGGAGTACAGACCCTTACCTCAAATCCCCCCTAGTCTGCGTGGAAACAGTGACACAGCCAGCCAGTCTTCTCATCAGGTAGAGGGCAGCACCAGGCACTCAGCAGTTACTAGCAGCACGCACAGAGACAACATGTCAGGCAGTGTGAATTTTGGTTCTATTGAAACTGTGAACACTATTAATGCTAGTGTTAATGCCAGTGATGGCACGTCAGCTTCAGTGACTATAGATACGTATGACTCCAGTGCATCAAACCCTTCACTAGCATTGTCTAGGCAAGCTGTCACTGGGAGTCTGGCATCATCCAATGGGAGTTTAGCAAATGAAGGTTATTACACATATTATCCACATTCATTTTCTTTCCCTTTTCGTAAGTCGGTTAATTGCTTTTTGCAACTTCCTGAATTTTTTTTGCTGTAAGGCCCCAGAAGTAAGAACACGCAAATCATAACTACCAGAAATTCTTTCACATGTGAGAAATTATTAATGTCAATTTGTTGGTTTAAGTAGTTGCTAGTTTCAGAAATGAAGCATTAGTTTTAATTTGCATTACAAAGATTTCAAGTGAGCAACAGCATTATACAGTGAAGACAGGACAAGTCATTGGCTTTCTCTCCTATTTTCAGATGCCCCACTCCTGGAGCACAATAACCAAGAATCTGAGCAGTTACTTGAAAATGAGGAGAGAAAAGAGAGTTCCCAGGAGTCCCAACCCAAGGAGGATTGACACAACTAAGACATCATGCATTCTCATTCTTAACTGCAACATAACACACTGTTGCTGCTGTCTGGTTGTGTTCTGTGGTATAGTGTCAAAATTGAGGTAGACTGAGGATCTTATTTATGTCTACGTACCAGTCTGGATACATTCATGCTATCAAAATAACTGGACTTCCTTTGCTGTGATGAATATTGAAATCTATCTAAAAATTAGCCACAAGGTGTACTCCATTAACTTATAAAGAATGTTGATACATCAACTGCTGTTCCAGAAACTTACTTTTTATTATGCCATTATGTAGGAGATGGGTTAACATGTGACTTAATGTACAAGTATAGACAGATGTCACTGTGATGTTTATTTTAGCAATGAGCCACTCAAGGATTGTAGATCTGAGAAACAAAGTAGATATATTTCTGGTACAAGGATATCATAAACCCAAAGTAAAAATTCTGCAGATAGTGGCAGTACATGGATGTGCACATGCGAACATATCAGTTTGGTTGACTTGTGTTTTCAATTGCTTATATTTACGGATATCTCATTGAAAATTGGTGACAAGGGGCATAGTAAAACTTGCCTATATATACAATTTGAAGTGAAAAATGCATTTTATTTTCTTATGGTTATCCTTTCAGCATTAATTTAAAGTTATGACGGTATACTGAAGTCAAGTTTTGTTTCTTGCTTCAAGATGTCTCATAACGTCAAACCATGCAATACTTAGTAATATCTCTACATGACTGGACAGACCTCAGTATTAGCCATGACAGCAGTGTTATACACTTCAAGGTTTATTATTGTTATTATTTTTGGTTAGCTTTGTGTAACAAATCAGTAACACTTCACCTGCCACACCTTTATATGCATAAACAGGAGAAACAACGGAGAAGATGGTACTGCTATCATGTTGATTCAGAAATGTGTATGAGTAAATGCATAAATGCTGAATCCAGGCTGGTACATTTGGAAGATAAAACAAGTGCAAATATTACACAGCATAGGCCTTACAATATCCAAGCCATCTGTAATCAGAATCTATGTCCTGTGTACTCTTAGTGTATGTTACAGAACAAATGTCAGATTTGTTTGTTCTTCAATGGACACTTTCACATATTGTGAACCCATTCAATGCCATTTTCAATTGCTTTGGTATTTTTTACAGTGTGTATTTTTTGGTATTTTATATTAGTGTAATAAACGTCTCCCATTTAGAGTGTAGGCTTGGTAAAGAATTGTTTGGATCAGATGAAATGATCTGTATGTGAATAATTAATGCTGTAACATGGTACCTCTAGAAGGCAGTTTGAGCAAACTATCCATTACATGTTGAGTAAACTATCCATTACATGAAGTATGTAGACATTAGATGCACAGCTGATGAAGTGGTGAATCTGATAAGCTATAGATAAAGTACGAGGTGCTGAGCTTTACGAGAAATAGAGCAGATAATTGGCGAGGTGAAGCCGAGTCAATTATCTGCTCTATTTCTCGTAAAGCTCAGCACCGAGTGCTTTATCTGGCTTAAAGCACGAGTAATTAACCCTGTGCATTGGTGTGTGGAACGCATTCGTGGATGTCGTGACTTTACACGAAATAAACCACGGCGCAACCTGTTGTCTTTTGACAGGAGAGTGCTTTAAGTTTATATAGACTACAATAATGGTTTTGATTCTAAAATCGGTGGATAATTGGAATTTTTTACGTACTTTATGTGTCATTAGCATAACAAATAAATGTTGATGAAATATATGTGAACCCATGTTAGCAGTTTCTGGAGTGAATCTTTGTAGCATTTTGATATCGATATTTTACTAAAATTTATTGTAGGATTGTAGTAACTAGTTGTAGCATTTAATGCATAATAGATAGTTTTTTTCAGCATGCTCCCACCCAGGAAATTTTCAGTCAATCAAATATTTTGGAAAAAACCTTCCATTTTCTAAATAGTCATTAAAAAGACCATCAAGTTGAGAGTATATGTTGAATGGAAAGTTTTGTACCTACCCTTCCATGGGTACCTGTTCAGTTACCTGGATGCTAAAGATTGACCAAGATGGTAGATAAAGATGTTTAAGGCTGGTCTTTTACATGTACAGCTGGTTACCATAGCATTTACTGTAGAAATTAACACTGAACAGTAATTGGCTACAACACTGCACTTCCTTGGTTATAGCGATTCTGTGTGAATTTTTAACCTTAGAAATTAGAATACTGATGGAAAGTTAGCTTCCTGTAAAGGAATGTCCCCAATTTATGTATATATATGTGCAATGATTAATAAACAATTTTCTCACTGTTTGAATTCTTTTATGTAAGTTATCACCACACTTTTTATGGACATACTTTATAAACATCTGATGAAACAGTAGACAGAATAATACATGTAGCATTCTAGGGGTGAATAGTTGTCCACAAAATTGTTGCTGAAAAAAAGGTTATATACTGTATGTCAGCTTGTGCATGGACGGCAGATATAGAAATATTTGGCAACCACTCCATTTGTCAATATTTGAGGCAAATCCACTTCTTGAGGGATAAATATTCCACATCTGATGAAATAAAATGCTTGACAAAGAGCAACCAGCTTGACGCTTGGAAAATGCAAATCTCTTAGGATCTAAGTGCCCCCCCCCCCTGCAAGTTAACGTAAACTTCAATGTAACATGGAAGTAAACCTTCACCAAAGAGTGCACAAATTATCACTCTGAGTTGAAACAAAATCAACATCAGAGTGTGTGCAAATCTAAGAAAGATTTTTTTNAGGTTATATACTGTATGTCAGCTTGTGCATGGACGGCAGATATAGAAATATTTGGCAACCACTCCATTTGTCAATATTTGAGGCAAATCCACTTCTTGAGGGATAAATATTCCACATCTGATGAAATAAAATGCTTGACAAAGAGCAACCAGCTTGACGCTTGGAAAATGCAAATCTCTTAGGATCTAAGTGCCCCCCCCCCCTGCAAGCTAACGTAAACTTCAATGTAACATGGAAGTAAACCTTCACCAAAGAGTGCACAAATTATCACTCTGAGTTGAAACAAAATCAACATCAGAGTGTGCAAATCTAAGAAAGATTTTTTAAACCAGTTTCAGTGATACCCTCCACCTCACTTTACACAGTTGTGCTAATTTAGTTCTAATTGTTCAGTACATTGTTTAATTTTGGAAAAAATTAGATTAATGATTCTAACATTTATTTTTAGAAATTAATGTTTATCATAATAAAGGAAGCAGACTTTAATTATCATCAATGCATTTTTATGCGCACACTACCGCCACCTTCTGCCGTGTTGTGAATTATCCGCGAAGTAGTCTTTGACGTGGCTAGCTAAGTCGCCATATTGGAATTGCTTGCAGAGGTAGCTGACGACCTAGAAATCGAGAAAAATCTTATTCAGTCAACGCACATATGCTGACATCTGGCACCTTGATATGAAGTATTGTCATTTGAGAATAGTTTTTTGCGTGCTCATCTTCTTACGATGCTCTCATGGAGATGAACATAGCCACACAGTAAGTACGCCCCTCCATGAAAATATGCAGTCGAAGATTAGAAAGTAACTTTTTACCCTTTTCCGATATTGAAAACTGTGACTCTTTTTCTATAGAAAATGCATAATTTTGTTTTCTTAATGTAAAGACATAAGTCATGCAACTGCGTTGATTTGAATTTATGGCAAGGAGTAAATCATCACCTTATTATGTAGTAACGCCGGTAAATTAGCCATAGTTACCAGTCCCAGAAATGTGAAAGTGATGCAGGGTATCGTACCTTTGGTGGTACTGAAATGGATTGTACTTCTTTTGTTGAGAATTCATATTACCATGCACAGACAATACCGTACTTCGTAAATGTATTAAAAAATCTGCACTCCCAAATCTGAGACTGAAGAGATGGCACTATTTAATATTTAATATTTGCCAGCGTGGATATGAAGTGGGCAATTGTGTAAATTGTGGTAAGTCCAAATTCTTTGAATCCCAACCTTGAGCAAAACTGAGCTTCATATCAGACACCATTGCACAAATTTGAAATGCAGAAAGACTGCATAAAGTGTTAACTAAAACTTTAAGCAAGGAAAGGAAGGTTCCCAATGATCAGGAGCACTTAATATCATGTTGTGATTTTCTTCACGAACAAAATTTTAGTCTTGGTTGTTTGAAGTCTAAAAGCTGAAGTCATTTTTCTTGCACGTAGGTGTTATTTGGCCTATTCTTTTCCAAACACTTACCAGCAAATGCCATAGTAGAAATGGTTGTATGGTTTTCATTGCATGCAAAGGTAAATTCATTGCCTTCACTTTTCAAGTGTAGGTAAATTTAATTGATAGTAGAAGTTGACCCCTGCAAATATTTTGCTATCACAATTGAGAAATTGATATTTGGACTAGATTCATTTGTATCCAGCTGGGGTTTAATCCTCTAATGTTTGAAAGTATAGTTCAGTTTATAGAAAGAATACGTTATGATATTTTGCTAAACAAGGCGTGAGTATTAGTAAGATGATTCCCAGAAAGGGTGAACTTTATCTCCTTGAATACAGAAAACAAAAGATGTTTGTCCAGTCGCTGATAAGACTAAAGACACATGTCACCTTCAGATGAATACTGATATGTGTAGATGGAATGATATTTGGATAAGTTCTCACATCCATCTCGGGTAACCTGTGCTATTTTCTTATAGTTGTAACCCCATCAGGTGTTGTTTCTGCTTGCATCATACATCAATCCATCTTGCCCTGATAACTATGTAATATAAGGATTGAGGGTTGACATATGGCTCACAGCTGATGTTATCTTTATGTTCTAAAATATGGAGAAAGATAATTATAGTAGATAAAGACATAATTTATATTGTAATTTGGCCTCGGTATTTAAAAGAGTAGAAAAAAGTAGTATTATCAACTTATGTTGTACAGTATAGTTCATTCAACTTTCAGTACGAGGAAGGAGAAGAAGTGGTCCTATGGATGAACACAGTGGGGCCCTACCACAACAGACAGGAGACCTATGAGTATTTCTCCCTGCCATTCTGTGGTGGGCCCAAGGAGACCATAGGCCACTACCACGAGACTCTGGGGGAGGCTTTGCAGGGAGTGGAGCTGGAGTACAGTGGATTAGACATTGACTTCAGGGGTATGTATATAAACTAGTATATCACGTACAAATTGCAGTTCTTGAATAGAATAATTTTATCAGTTTTCAACCCTTCAGTTGTCTGTTGGCATGAAATGAAGCACTAGTCTAATTAGTGGAATATTTGCATTGCAGTCATTGAATAGCCCTAGGCATTAAATTGATCATCCAGTCATGCTATGAATATGCATCCCATGTGTGACTTTTAGAATTGTGACAATGTTATGCCTTAAAGGACTTATACATGTTAACTAGGACTATAAAAGTCTTTTCCTTTTAACTTGAATTATGTGGAATGCAAATTTCATCAATACATTTAACATACTTAAATACATATTTTAGTCAACAAACCTAAGACCACTTACTGCAGTGTTACTCTATCAGAAGAGAAATACCAGGCATTTGTGTATGCAGTAAAGAACCACTACTGGTATCAGATGTACATTGATGATTTGCCTATATGGGGTAAGAAACCAGAAACGTCTTAATTTAAAACCCGAATTTAGAATGTCACCGTGAAATTGCAGGGTTATCAGCTTTTTTTAATGTGTTTTCCATAGGTCGAACTAACTTTTGCCTCCTTGCAACTAGTAAACTGAAATTGGATTTAAAAACTAACCTTAGTTTGTAGACAGTTTTAATGTGTTCAAGGCTGTGTAGGGTAGAGTTCTGCTTCATATTACCCAATTTGCTGGTGGCTTGACTTGATCAAACTAAAATAACCTGTCTTTGTTAATATATCTATACAAGATCAGTAGTATTTGAAATGGTTATTTGATAATATTAAATATACATTGGTCGCACAATTTTACAGTAGTGTTCATGGAATTGAAATCTTAGTTACTTAAATGTTTTATCCCTATAATTTTTTGCAGTCCGACTGTGGCAGTTTTACAACATTTTACTTTGTAAAAACATCGTAACTCTTTGTCACCCTTTTCTAGTGATTTATTACAAGAGAGGTACCATTTTGTGAGATATGTAGTGATGAATTAGGTGTTATGAAGTTGAAATATTGTTGATAATAAGATTGCTTCTACTGCAGATTTTATGAGCCTTCCATACTATTGGTTCATGTTTGATGAATTTGGTGTTTGTTTTCTGTATGTGTTCTTAGGTTTCTTCTCTCTCTCTCTTTCAGGCATAGTTGGAGATGTTGATGAAGGTGGAGATGGCTACTACATCTGGACACATAAAAAGTTTGATATTGGCTACAATACAAACCAGATAGTTGATGTCAACCTCACCAGTGAGGCCAAGGTGAAATTAGAACCTGGAGCCAAAATACCATTTTCATATGAGGTAACTATTCTGATTGTGAAAGTGCAACTTTTACATTATGATATGAAAATGTTTAGTGTATTTTTTTTTTTGCCTTTTGATTTTTATGGGTATATGCCTTTTATGAGAAAGTATTGTATGGAAATTGTTGAATAGAACCTTTTGGTTAACATAACAGTTTTGATATTTATCAAAAGGAAGTCAATTACCCAATATTGTGCTCATGCTATGACAGACTCACATTCCACATGGACATGTTTGATCAAGTCAGCTGTCTTTGTGAATACATACATTACATATTTGATAAGAGATTAACTTGGTTTATGTCAATATTTCCAGGTGAAATGGGTTGCTTCTACTGTGAAATTTGATGATAGATTTGACAAATATCTGGATCCAAACTTCTTCCAACACAGGGTAAGAAAATTGGCAAAACTCTACTTGTTATTTTGATTGATTATTTTAATTGTTTGATTATTTAAGCATATTACCAAGTTGTCACTGTAAACAATACTGCAGACAAGTAATATGATAAAAAGCCTTACTTTTTATCAAGATTGCAGTTGTAGCAGGAAGCTGACAGTACTATCATAACTTTTCTCCAGAATTTACTTCGTTTAACCTCATTATTTATGAATACACCTAAATGGTTGAACTGCCTACTATAAATAGAATTAGATCATTACCCTAAAATGGTTTTAAAAATCTTTAGATTGCTTCTCAATGCAAGTTTGAATGACATTTAATTCTTTCACATCTAGGTTTTAAGTTTCCATATTCTTGAGAGTTTACAAATAAAGTTAAGGTTTGTATTTCAGATCCACTGGTTCTCCATATTCAACTCCTTCATGATGGTCATCTTCCTGGTCGGTCTGGTCAGTATGATTCTGATGAGGACATTGAGGAAGGACTATGCCAGATATAGCAAGGATGAAGAGATGGATGACATGGTATGTTGTTGTTATTAGAACTAAAACTGCTAAGAAATGAAGGCTAGCCTTTCTGTTTCATGATTGACACAGTTTTCTTTTCGGGATTCAAGAATGCAGCAGAAATATATGGAGGAATGGCCATAAACAAATGGATAAAATAGTGTGACTGGAAAGGATAGTTATATAAATGTTAATTTTTCTTTGCAGAAAGTTGTTTCTTTTGATCTCAATAAAGAAACAATAGGGTTTGCAGTAGAGACAGAAGGGGTAGAGGACAAGATGAGAGAGAGAGAGAGATTTTTGTTAATTGATTGATTATGTACACATTGGGTCATTCACCAACTTCATTTTCCAGGAACGTGATCTTGGAGATGAGTATGGTTGGAAGCAAGTCCACGGTGATGTTTTCAGACCAGCCTCGCACCCACTATTATTCTCTGCCCTGATTGGTTCAGGATATCAAGTCTGCATCGTCACACTTTCTGTAATCATTTTTGCTCTTTTGGGAGAGCTTTACACTGAGTAAGTAATGCAAGCTTTGTTTTACCAAAATGTGCCAACAGTATGTGTTGAAGTTTGAAGTGGATTTTAAGCAAAATGTGAAATGTCAAGACAAAATTTATCAGAGATAAAAAGGCTTTTGGATATATCTGGAAATCCAAATATTTGCTCCATGAGCACCCCACATATAGTTTCGTGCCTTCAGAACTTGTGCTTTCGGGATTTTTCAAGGGTCCACTTTCATCTCTGATTTATTATCAGTTACATAATTCTTCAAATATATTTTTCAAATATGCTAGAGTTTGAAGTGAAAATGAGGTTAGTAATGATCTTCGAATGCAGCGTTTTAATTCCAATTTTGTATCATTACAGGCGAGGTTCACTACTTAGCACTGCAATATTTGTGTATGCTGCCACGTCTCCTATCAACGGCTACTTTGGTGGTGGTCTGTATGCCAGAATGGGAGGTAAGGAAGCCTAATTAAAAAATGTTTTGATAGTATCAGGAAGGTCCTTTGTGTTTGGCGAAGACTTATGAACAGAGTGTTAAAAAGTGGAGAAGTGAAGTGGTTCTTATACACTGCAGCACATCTCAGTGCAGTACATAATTTGCCTAGCATATTTTTGGCCCCAGTTGAAACTGGCTGTAGATGTTCTCATGACTCTGTTAAGATAAGCTGATTATTTTTGCTGCTTTTAAATTCAGTGGTATGTACTAATGAAGTAATACTCCTGTATCCCTTGTTGCAGGCAAAGTTTGGATCAAGCAGATGTTGCTGAGTGCATTTTTGTTACCCTTCATGGTGTGCGGTACTGCCTTCTTCATCAACTTCATTGCCATCTACTACCATGCATCCAGAGCCATCCCATTTGGAACCATGGTGAGTTGCACTAGTCACTAACTGACAGTATTGCCTTAGTGGTTGTTATTATAACATATGGAGGGGCAGGGGCTAGCTTGTGATCACAATGATGATACTCACCCAGCTCGCTTTGAGCAAATGGCTGTGAAGAAACTTTGTTCCAACGCAATTGAATCCTGAGTGATCATGCAAACATACCATTAGTAATTAATTTGACCTGTATTTTAGCAATATTTTGAGATGATGTTCAAAGATGAATCATGCTCTGTTACCTTCTATAGATTTGATTACTGTTTTTTGTATGTTCCAGGTTGCCGTCACGTGTATATGTATATTTGTCATCCTCCCCCTTACTCTGGTGGGAACAGTGTTGGGACGCAATATGTCTGGACAGCCTAACTACCCATGTAGAATTAATGCCGTTCCCAGACCAATACCAGAGAAGAAATGGTAAGTATAACTTCTATGTGCATCATGTTTTATAAATTATGACATATTTTTGTTTTGCGGTACAACTGAAAATAGATCACATGTAAATGTCATAGAATATGTGCAATTGATGTACAAATTGAAAGTAAAATTTAATGTATGTGCCATAACTCTGAAAGCTAAGATTGACAATGCATGGTAATTTCATGTAAGCATGATGATGGAAATTTACAGTTGCTGGATGTATAATATGGATGATTAAAAAAATCTTATAAGACCAAGTGCTAGGATTTTGAGAATAGAAGCTTAAACTGTGAAGTCATTTGCCCGATGTAATCTCAGATGACAGCATTTTAATGTTACTGTACCCTACTTTTCTTTACAGGTTTATGGAGCCTGCTGTGATAGTCATCTTAGGAGGTGTCCTGCCCTTTGGGTCTATCTTCATTGAAATGTAAGTATAAAAGGGGAACTGTCACTGTCATTTATGAATGTAAATAATGTTTTTTTTTTTAGATATTGGAAAGATGCTAGAGAGATATTTAAGAAAGGGTCAAGGAAATATGTGAAGCATGTTTTTTCCTTCTCTCTAATGACACACAGTCATTGTAAATTAAACTGAAATTTGATTTTCCATGAAAAATGACCTGTAAACTTAATGTTAGAATATTTCTTCATTTCATGGCAAACTTTTTGTATCCTTTCAGGTATTTCATTTTCACTTCATTCTGGGCATACAAGATCTACTATGTGTATGGTTTCATGTTGCTGGTGTTTTTAATCCTAATGGTGGTGACAGTCTGTGTGACCATTGTCTGTACATACTTTTTACTGAATGCAGAGGATTATAGATGGTAAGATCCACAGATCCCTTGGGTCTGGTGTGAAATAGAATGGTCTGAAAGTGGTGGTCAGCTATGATGCTGTGACACTTCTTGTCTAGGCATTTTGTTAAAGATTTTTTTCTGTTTTACTTATAAATTGAAAAGTCTGTTACTTATCAAAAATTAAAATTAATGTCAATTTTGTTTTTAAGTTTTTAACAAAGGATTGAACTTTTTGCTTGTACTTTGATATTTCATTTCTTCTATTTATTTTCTTCTATTTTAGGCAGTGGACAAGTTTCCTAGCAGCTGCATCAACATCTGTATATGTTTATATGTATTCATTTTATTATTACTTCTTCAAAACAAAGTAAGTGGATGTTCCAATTCATCCAGGAGTGTATCTTATGTGATAAGTTCCATTTACTTCCACTGACGTCAATTTTTGTCATCTTTATGACTTTAGCAAAGTTTTTGAGTTAATAGTCGACAGATGTTAAAAGCCTTACTGCTTATTGCAGTGAATGCACGTCAGTACTGTTATGCTTTGTGTGAAGATATTTTATGAGATTGTTTGGGAGTTTCTAAAGCATATTTAGGAAGGCATTTTTGCAATACATTTTTACTAATATTTTATGTATTCTAATGTAAATGTGTTGATTAAGTCCAGAAAATGTTAATGTGTACCAGAAATCCAAAAAAGATTGATTTGTGTTAAACAATTATTCACTTGTATTCCAGAATGTATGGGCTGTTCCAAACCACCTTTTACTTTGGTTACATGGCTCTGTTTAGCATGACCCTGGGGCTTATGTGTGGTGAGTGAAAGAAAGGGGTCTTTTCTGATGTGGTATAATGTTGACTTTATCTTCTAAGTTAAATATAGAAGGCAGAAATAGTAGGAAGACTGATTTGTCTCGAATTTATGGTACCCAATGGAAAGTGTTTGACAGATTTGAAAAGGAACATAGCTCTAGAAAATGATGACATATTCAATTAGTCTTTTCCATGTTGTCTTTCAGGGGTAGTTGGGTATGCTGGAACGAGTATGTTTGTCAGGAAGATTTACTCCACAGTGAAAATTGACTGAGGGCAGTTATGCAGAGGAACTATATATATTTATACAACCAAAGGCAGGGACATCCTGTGGTTAATGTATATTAATAGAGGAGGAGGAGGAAGAAAATCCTGGTGCTTGGGTGAAAGATGTTACTAGCAATGGCAGACACAGCTGCTCAAGGTTAGGACATTACTTCACAGCAAGATGCTGAGGTACTGATACTGACTATAATGGCCCCTCTTCTGACTCTGAATTTACTGGGAGTGATTTCCAAAGTAGCTGTCAGCATCCCAGGGTTTCATAAAACAATGGTTCCTGTGGCTGTCGGTATCTTGCTGCATCCAACACTCTAGGTGGAGGGTAAGGGGATGAAATTCTGCTCATAAACAGACAACTGGGAATCTGTGAGGAAATGTTGGAGAGAATGGATGGCTTAGTATGTAGCTTGTGTGCCAGCTCTGGTGCAATAATCAGGTCCTACCTTGTCTGGAGAAAAACAAGCCATGCTTTATATTTCTATCTCTGGAACAAAGAGAGTTCTGTCCACAATAAAAAAACAAGTATTTGTAAATAGGTGTTCAAAGGGGAATGTGTACATCTAGTATGTTATTATCATTATTTTCTGTAGTTCTCGTAAATGTATGTTTTAAAACTGATGATAGAAATGCTTTGCCTAATAATAAAGCAAAAGGCAGATCTAGTAAGTGTCAGTGACTTGAAATGATTGTGATATCCATCGCCTGTTGCATTAGACATTGGACTTGTTAACATTCCCCGACTTCTTTCACTAGAGAGTGATTATCTGCAGTCTGGAGAAAATGCATAGACATACTTATATATTATCAGGTGATAGCTGTATTGTCTGAATATAACTTTTGTATTCAGTGGTATAAAATACATTTAATATTATGAAGAAGATGTTTTGCGTATTTGATGACCGAGTATTCATATAATTTTGACCTTTGTGTGAATGCCATCTGTCCTACATTACATGTGAAACCTCCAAAAGACTGAAGTGTTTTCTTGTAACAAAACCCATTGATGGAATGTTGTGATTGGTGTAACAAGGGATCTCGTGTTAAGTGCTGAAATGCTCTACTGTTGTGATCATGCAAACGTGTGTACAAAGATCCTTTAACAAATATGCGTGTTAGATATTTTACAAGAGCAGACATCTGGTAAAATGTTATTTACCTCCTAAAGCAGAAAAGATCCCCCAGAATAATGGTAGATCCCCACTCTCAGGACAAACAAAGGTGATGACAAGGGCAGCTTTGAATGTGGGAAGCAGGAAATTGTCATTAAGGTTCTGACAAACCTGCTCTTGTACCAGTGAAGAAGTTGCCCTGGAAAATGTGGCCTGCTCGGGAAATGCACCAGGTCACTCTGAAGCACATGATCATAATTGCTCGGCTAAAAGTGCCCTACTTAATGAAAGGAAATATCATATAATAACAAGTGAAAGTGTCTTTGATCTGACTGATGTGTCTGCGTCATTATTTTGTAGCATGACAGCTAAGTGCCAACTTTGATGTAGGAAAATGCTGTTCAATACTTTCTCTGAATAATCTGAACATGCTCATAAAACAAAATATCCTACAACTCTTGAATTTTTAACATGGTAAAATCGTCTTGACAAGAAAATGAAATTGATAATTTGTGTTGTATTTTGTAGAAATTTTACATAGTGAGGTGAGCCTAGATTGCCATTTGAATTTGTCAGGCAGACTTCAGCTGCTCTGCTCTGAGATCCTAAGGTGTTATTCAGATATTTGTCTTAAATGACTCCCTTAAGTATACAATGTAACACTCACACAGTGAGTTCAAACATATTATCTGAAACAATCAAGACTCTCTTTTCCTCTCCTACCAGCTCTTTAGTAAATTTGGGAATGAAATCGTCTCTTTCAAATATCAGTATTGCCTGCATCAGCATTTGTAATTTAGTCTTGTTGAACAAGTATGGTTTTAGAGGCATGGTAGCAACTCCAACAAGACTTTAATTTTGGAAAGATGGTTAGATTTCTGACAAGATGTCACTTTCAGAGAAATGGCATCATTTCAAACAAGTCCAGTTTTGGAGAATCTGATATGAAGTCCTCTTCAGATCCTCCAATGGAGAAATGGTAGGAAAGGCAAAGAAGAGGGTCTGAATTAACTAAAAGTTGTAAAGATCACTAGATGTTCACTTATGTCACTATCCATATAATAATGTAACTATTTACAACATTTGCAGAAAGGCTACCTAATGTAAATCTGCGTAAATTACATACATGTTTGTGGTGTATAAGTATTTATATAAACAATTGCAGTTAACATTTCACTGGACCATTTACAAACTAAAATGTACAATTCACACACTCACACATGATGATGGTTGATCCAAGCTGTGCCACAGAAGCAAATGTAAAAGGCTCAAAGGCCTGAGTTAAAAAGAGATTAAATCCTACTGTCAAATATCAATTTAAAAACACCTTACTAGTACAGAGAACTAAATGTAATAATACTGACAATATTGCTGTGGCTTGGTAACGGATAAAATAGAATATTCTTATGCAGTCAAGTCATATCACTGGTACAAATATCAGTCCACACAATAATAACAATGGCACAATAGGATCTGATTTGTTCTGGAATAGGGACATATTTTGCTAGTGAAAATTATGAAAAGCTAACTTGAATTTGAAGAGCAGCAAGATTTGTAGACACCCTACCAAATTCTGATAAACCTTACCCTCTTAGACTTTTTCAGTGCTTTAAATGAGCCAACAAACAGAAATGTATTTGACTTTTCCACGAAAAGAGCAAAATTTTGTTAACCAGGAAAATCTAATCCATCAAAAACTATTACATATATTCTTACCAAATAACATGGTTTAAATCACTTCAATGTCCTGAGCATACTTTTGAATATTTACATATTCTAGCTCATCTCTATCTCTGATGCTCAAACTGACACATAGCATGGCACTGTAGAGTGAGGAGGGTTGACTTCTTCGCAGATTTTAACATATTAATTCAACTATCCGATTCCAAAGCTATTATAAATGTTTTCCTCCTTAGACAATGCTTTGAGATTTCTTAGATTGTGACCCTTCTCTGTGATTGATCATTGCAGTGGGGAGTTTATTCTTCTCTTTCTCTGTTGGTATGACTTTAGGGACGGAGGGCTCTACCCTTTCCTCAGGACTAGCCATTAAGTAAGTTGCAGAGAAACCCTTCCAATTAATTGTGTCGTCTGACCGGAAGCGTAGAGTTAAATATTCCCCTGTTGATATGTACTCTGGAGGAAGCTGAGAAAAAAAAACAGAAAGGAAATAAAGTAACATGCAACATTATGCTCAAACCATTCTACTTTAAAGCTGGAGAGAGAGAGTGATCTTTCCAGAAGCAATGAATGGAGTCCAACCCTTCATCATAATTCTCTGAAAACTACCCAAAAACATTTCACTTAAAACGTGTAGCTTTATTAGGTTGCTTGATTATTTAAATTGCTTTACAATAATGAACACACTTAAATTTTCTCCTTTTTTCTTCTTTTTTCATAATATGGTAGAATATACTTGTCTGTTTTTCCTTTAAAAAAGCCTTTAGATGGCTGGTAAACCTACCTCATTGCCACAGTACTTTCCAACTCTATTCACCTCAGAAGTCTCCTCACCATCAAATAGTTCCACATGGTCATAACTGTATGAGAAGGGAAAACTAATTTAATGCTTCAAAGAGCTACTTGGACTGATGTATTGAAAATCATGAAAATAGCACTGATATAATAACATGTAATTGCAAACAAAGAACCGTGTGAATTGTAAATCACCACTCTTAATTTTCATTTTAATCTTTTTTTGACATAACTTGCAGTTTTACTTTATGTAGAAATGTAAAATGTCTTGATTCTTCAGTTGTAACATGTTGTAACATGGTTATCATTTCTAAACTTCACTGAGAAAATCTAAAAGTGCAAAAACTTGTAAACCATTACCGCAAAAAAATGAGGCATGCTTGGTTGATACATTGACTCACCCGCAGTCAGATTCTTCCTCGACTTCAAATGTTAGAAATCTGAGGCGTACCCTGTACCCTTCCTTGGCCTGTATTACCCAATCACAGTCTGCTTTGTTGTTGTAGTTCACATCGCCATGTTTGGCATGAGAGTACAGGTTGTGCTCCTTAGATGTGGCAAGAAGACGGCCACCACACACTGTGGAGGAAAAAGAATAATGGATTAATACAGTAAAACACATCGGATTGTACTTCAGCTGTTCAATATTCAATCATAGTGAGAACTTCAAACATTATCATCCACGAAAAAAACACTGTGTCTAGGTAAAGGAGAGCACAATATTAGAACACTAAGCCAAATGTTCAACATAATTTACTCTGCCAAAACATAAACTGATACAAATGGACTGAAATCAAAAATGGCTCATTATTTCATACCCTTTTACAATTTATTGAGGGTAACGATTTGGCTAAAGCAAAAAAATTGGGTTGTCATTTATTTCCACGTAATGTTTTTCTAGCTTTCAGGCTACAATTTAATGGAATCCCTGTTTAAAAACAGCTGTTACAAATATCCATCCATACAGAGTTTCAGAGAAAATTTTCTTTCCAACCTCGAAATTCTGCTTATTTTTTAGACATTTCCTGTAGTAAAAATCTTTTACAGTATATATTTCTATCAAACTGTTAGTTGAAAACACGCATTCATAGCAGATCTTTTGAAAAAAAAACTCTCTTTAATTACCACAAATCTTTTAGAACTTTAAATCTCCAAGAGCAGAGGTAATTTACAACACCCAAAAGCACATGCACTTGTGGTGAGAAATTGTGTTTTTGTTTCCATAAATTCATCATGGTAATGTTTGAGTTCACCTGTTGTGTGAGCCACTTTGAACCCTTGCCTCTGTACCGAGGCGTCAGAGAAGAACACCATGAAGATACGATTACTGCTGGACACGACAGGCTCAGGGTTGTTGTGTCCACAATATCTCCCCAAACTGCGAGCTTTGTCATCATCTCCATCAAACAGCTCTATGTGATCGTATGTGCATTCCTGATGAGGCTCCAACTGAAATTCCACAAATGTCTGAAAAATAGAAATAAAGAAATTAAACACAATGTTTAGAATTAAGATATGTCATGTAAAATACCTATCTGATTTCAATATTTAGGGGTGTTGTAAAGTATCATTGTCCTTTTGTGAAATAAAAATGAAAGACAACAATGAACACAAGATCAAAGAGCATTTAATTTAAAATGGTAACGTAACACTTAAACTAGAATATTTTAAGACTATACAAAAATTTTGCACTGCACACAAATTATAAAAATCAATAAAACAACCAAGATTATGCCACAAAAGGCAAGTTACCACAACCTGTTCCTGTTTAATAAAAAAATATCATAATCTTGCTTAATTTGCTCATAAGAGCTAAGATTTTAAGATAAAAGATATTGCCCTTACATCTTTACGTAATTATGCATTTGCCATATTTTTATGTAAACAAACGTAGTATTGGAATTTTTGCACAGACAGTCAACAATTAACATATAAAATTAAAGCTGAATAAATTATTATTATTATTATTATTATTATTATTATTGTTGTTGTTGTTGTTGTTGTTGTTATTATTATTATCATCAAATGATGTGCGGAATCAACTGACCAGCTTTACTCTATGTCCAGGCTTGGTGGTGAAGTGCCACACACAGTTCTTGCGGGCAGGGTAGTGACTGGGCCAGTCAGGGCTTGTGATCTCCCCTTCTGGAGTCACTATTTCATGACTACAACCACCTGCAAATAGATCAAAATAATACCCACCATTAATTTCAGATTGCCTGTTTAAGTTAACATTTCATTGTCACTTGTGGAAAAAGCAAACTTAATAAAGTATAAGACAAATGTTTATGATGAAATATTTCCCTGTTTGTTTCTTTTCCTGATGATGTGAATGAAACCAAAACAAAAGAAAAAGCCAAATATCAAGTCATAAATAATATAAACAATATAAAGGTATTTTATGGACAGAATATTTTGTAAGTGACGGCATTTCTGGGTAAACAAACAAGCATTTTTTGGAGTGGCATGTCTCAATTAAGTCAACCAGTTCATATACTAGGAAAAGAGGCTTTTTCAGCATATCAAATTTCATTTAAAGAGCTATATTCTATAAATCTTCCACTTGAACAATGGAGTCTTAACTTTCCAGCAAACGGGCATTTTCATTTGCCTGACTCGACCGACTTCTTTGCCACCTAGCCCTAAATGTACTGAATAAACTGGAACAAACCCTCTCTACATATAATACACACATGGTAACAAATAAAATACAGCTGAGAGCAAACCTAACACTCTACAAAGTTAGTCCAAATCTTTTCACGCTTTCAATACTGAAAGATGAAAGCAGTACAAAATGTGGTAAATATATTTCAGTTCAGTCAGACCACCCATAATACAGCAGTGTGATCTATCTGCAGGTATTTACTTATCCTTTACAAAACAGTCAGATGTGAGAACCATGCTTTTTCAGGACATTGTTGATTAATTTTACAAAAAAATATTTATTTTTACTAAAGAACAAAATAAAACCTACAAATGTCTTTTTAGACACTTGATCATGCATCAATTTTTTTTTTCTTACAAAAATCACACTGTTCAAATTCAGTTTAATGAAATTCTTTTCAGACCCTCTCAGTGCTTTTTGTCCCATCATGTCAACCCTCCTTAAGTTGATGGTTACCAAAGGGCACACGAAATGTTGAAATGTTCGACTTCCTTAATGACCAACACATTTTTTAAACATTCAGCTTCTTTTACATGAACTGGTTTGCAATTTTTAACTGATGTTTTGGTTAAAATCCTGATGAGGAGTACACACATGCATTTTATCAAAGTGGTTTGAAATAAAGTGGCAGCTGCTTTCAAAGCTCAAACTGCAAAATACGAACAGCAAAATAACAGTTATAAACATTGAATTAAGAGTTATGTTCTTTCACCAGTGCAGCTATGTTGCCACGGCAGCACTAAAGTCAAGTGTGGGGTTAAGACTGCTGATTAACTGCAGACCTCTCTTAAGTATGACTAAGATATGCCTAGGTTACTCAATTTCTTTATTCATTTAAGCTAAATGAATAAAGCTAAATAGATGTTAATTTATTTGTTCTTTAACATGAAATCACTGAATTTGTAATATGTAATAATATATGTAATAAGAAAATATGCAGTAATGCCCTCATAGCAGTACTGTAAGTGATACAATTAAGCCTTGAATCACTAAACCTGCCCAACTTTATATGGCAATGTTTAAGGTTCTGAAAAACATCACTTTTTACAATACATGTCCCTTTTCACCTACTCTTGCTGTGCATGTTACTAATAGGTACTTTTTTACAAATTAAAGTTACATAAAAAAACGAAATAACTTCAGGATCAGCAGTAAAAAAAAAAAACAAGCGTGGGCTGACAAGCAATTTGACGTTAAGCATATCCACTAAAACTGTCAAACAAAATGATCACAACAGACATGTCTGGAGTTCTGCAAGTTATAAAGATGTGAGATTATGCTATGCATGTCTCTCTCTCTCTCTCTCTCTTTCTCTCTCTCTCTCTCACTCTCTCTCTCTCTCTTTCTCTCTCTCTCTCTCACTCTCTCTCTCTCTCTCTGTTTGTGTGCTTGCATGAATGCGCATGTGCAAGCATGCACACTGGTGAGAGATAAGGTGGGTAAAAGGTAGTTGTGATACATTTTGTGATAAAACCTTGGCTTTCTTAACAGCAATAATATGAAAGATTAAACAAGACACCTCTGTCACCACTGAAGTGTCTATTTGACTGACACATTTACTGTATCACTTTCACTGTGTGGAATAAATGGTGCTAAAGGTGATCAAGTGGGAGTTAGACTGTGTTATAGCAAGATCTAATCACCCTATTCGCTACAAAAATAGCTACAATGACTTCCTTAATCATTACTTTAAAAGCATATACACTTAACAGTGTGACCTGACAGTTTCTTTCTCAATATTTGAAAAAAGATCACCATCAATCAAAACTTCCTCTGTCCCATTAACACCAAATTCCCGAAAGCAGCTGAGAATAATCCAACAGAAATATTAAAGTAAGAAAAATGTCCACCATTTCATAAGAGTCACTCACCTTCCTTGCAGTCGTGTTTGTTCTCGTGCAGCTGGTAGCCATTGTTGCAGGCACACTGGTAACTGCCGACTGTGTTCTTACAGATGTGCTGACACCCGCCATTGTCTACAGCACACTCGTCCTTGTCTGCCATGAGAGTGAAGGGAAACATACAAGCATATATAGATCAAGCAATGATATATATATATATATATATATATATATATATATATATATATATATATATATATGCTTTTAAATGCATTCCAGCATTTGAAATATTAAAAAATCTATACATGAAATTTTAGAAATGAAATTTTAGAACATCTTTTTTTAAAATTTATGTATTTATGTTTCATATCTGAATTGATTGATCAGAAACACAAAATCAAGTCCTGTAGGAAGTACAGTTTAATTTGGCATGCATAGACCTTCCTAATAAGTGCGGACACCTCTCATCTTAATTTCAAGAAATATTTTGGGAGAAGGAGTACTGCCACAATTTGAACAGCACAGCAGGCTTTAATTGGAGCACTGAGCCAGACACAGTAATATGTTCCACATGTTTCAGCAGAATGCACACTTAGAACTCCTGTCACTGTCACAAAGCCAGCGTGCCCTGACCCTCTTAAAGGTCATCTCTCCTGCCCCAGCCCAGCCTTAGAGGTGGCATCATTAGAGGTAATGGTGCCTGTATTTGGTGGGAGTAGAGCAGGAAGCAGTCAGCAAAGAGGGTCACACTAGGTGAGTTAATGAGGTGAAGCAGCCGACTTCTGGTCCTCATTGGAGTGACAGGGGTAAAACTGGAGGAGGAAGTCAACTCAACCAACAGAAGCTTAAGGTATACTATCCACACTTGAAAATGCCTCAAAGTGACTTTTTATATTCACATAATTGCTACATAACCTGTTAAGCTACTTATCTTTCCCAATTCAGACCTTTAAAAAAATCTCAAATAAAAGTACCTGATAATCATATTTCCTTCTGAAATTTACAGGAAAACATGAAGGTCTAAATCACTGGCTAGCAATTAAGAACTAAATGATTCTTTGAACTTATAAGAAGTGGTATATAACATGGTATCCAAGTGCAGGGACCCATCAAGCAATGATTCATGAGAAGGAGAAAATTGCTTATTTTTTTAGAAAAATTCAATTTGGTGGGAAAATTCTTTAACCTAAGCTGTTGTAAAATGTTGACCTGAGGCATATTTGCTTCTATTTCTCAAATATAAGTAAGGTGACAGACATGAGAGATAACCCCCCTCCCCACATCAGAAACTCACAAAATGCAAACATATCAATGTATGGAGTAGAAGAGAGATGACAGATAATAGGCACCTGAGCCCACCGAAACCCTCAATCCTAGGCATGTCCTTTTTATGGGGCCTCACACAGGAGCAAAGCAGGTGACAAATACCAGAAACACCCCCTCCCTCTGATATCCTCAAGATATAGGCATGTCCCACTCTTGAGCCTCACACAGGAGCCAGGCAGTTGACAAATACCAGACCCCCCCTGAAATCCTCAAGACACAGGCATGTCCCTTTCTGGGGCCTCACACAGGTGACAGGCAGGTGACAAATTCCAGAGACTCCACTGCCTCACAGGGGGGTCATGGTTGTTCATAGTAACCCAGTCCACAGGATGTTTGTTAACATTTTTTCTGGTGTACAACATACGTAAATGCACACATCCACATACTTTATATATTATACACATTATAACCACATCTGCTGCTGTATGCCAGTTGTCTATTCACACCTACCGGTGAAAAATGTAGCCAAAAATCCTGTCTTCTGCACCGAATTGTCCGAATTAAACTCTATGCGTAGACTGTTTCCCTCAGATGTCAGTGGCATAGGGAGTGTGGAGCCGCAGAACACCCCCAGCAGGTTGGAGTCTGTCTCAAAACCACTGCGTACCTCCACAGAGTCATATTCGCAGTCTTGCTGGAAGCATGAAAAAACAAATCAATTTTGGTGTATCATTCAAAAAGCTATCATGCCATTGAAAATGGGCATATAGAATCACTTTAAATCAAAATGCTGAGCAACACAATGGGCACAGTGTAAATGAACGTTTTACTCCTGTTTTTACTTTTCATGTAAAGCGTTAGAGGGTTTTGCTCCTACATTTGTAGCAATTCATTTTGTTAAGGAACAAGACACAATGTTATGGTAATAAAGTACTACTAGATAAATAAAACATTGAAAAACTCTACAAAAAGGTTTGTTTCCTGGGCATGAAACAATGCTTTACCACTCCATAAAACAAAAGATAAATTTCATAAAGTTTAAAAGTATGTTTTATGGAAACTTATTACCTCTGCAAAGGAGGCTATGTTTTTTCCTTTATTGTTGTTTTAGGTAAAAAGCCCAACTCAAAAAGTTAAGGATGGAATCTGATAAATATTTCAGGCTAGGTTAACATTGGACTAACAAAAGCTGATTACACTTTGATGGAAATCCATTAATGTATTTATAATAATTAGAATTGAGGTGTCCTGTCAGAGGTTGGGGCTCTCTGAAAGCCTTCTTAGTTCCAATTGTTTCAGAACAACTTGGCTCACTTCATAGTTGTGATATGTGTATCACTCTGCAGGTCACAAAGACCAAGCTCACATTTGTCTGGGTAAGCTAAACTTTAAAAAGAAAAGTATGAATGAATTATACTGGCAAGTTCTGAGAAATAAAACAAACTGCCAACATATGTCACTGGAAAACCATTAAAAAATCTAATTTTCTTCTCACAAACTTTGTAACACTACTCTTTTCAAGCCCCCTGTAATGATAACACGTGCCAACTTTCCATGCTTGTAAACATCTCGCAAACACTTTAAAACACTAAATTTTAATTACAGATGCACTTCACTTTTTACCACATTGCTGGCCTCTTATTTTGGACAAATTTTTACTTTTATTGACACTGGCTTTAGTTCAGTGTACAGAACAGAAAACTATGAACTTTAACATATACATCTATGAGAAAATATGACCCGGGGGATGAGAGCCATTAATACTGGAAGACTACTTTCAATTGTGAAAACAAAATATGATGTCAGAAAATTCTTCCAGAGGACTGTAACATTTTTCAATGAAATAAAAGCCATGTGGAACATGAACATTGTGACTTTTCCTCCTAATTGTCAAGATGTGGTCTACATTTCCCCTAATAAAAGATCCAGGGTTTACCATGTGTGGAAGAGTACAGAGGCACGCCAGTTGCCAGAATCTAAAGATGGAAAGCCAAAACATCCTTGACTTTAATCTTTATGGTCTGATGAGGGCAGACAATTTCTAGTTTGTTTTTTCCTTTTTCTTTTTTTTTCTTACTGGCATTTCTTTATGAACAAAGTCAACTTTCAAAAGTAGTGGCTGGGTTGCTCTGTTGTTACAGTGTTAAGATAAAGTGATTTCACAGTAGTTGATAGGTTGCCATGTCATACCAACCGCAGAGGACACGGTACGTCTAAATGCAGTGACAAAGACGGCAAGGCTTTCAAAGTGTGAGTGCATAATTCACGCTGACAGGTCAATTCCTCAATACCTGCCACTCTGAGGTTACACATACCTGTCAGGCTTGATTTAATGATTAAATTACCAAAACAACAATAATGCTGAGCTGTTATGGTAAACACGATAAGGCAGAGCCCACCTGCCAAGAGACTGCCTATACCTGATACCAGTCAAATGAAATTATTCATCTGAAGGATTCAAATACATAATGTTAAGATTGTTCTGAAGGAATGTGCAGCAAGGGAAAATGCCATTATTCTTATTTTTAGAATCTCTAGATTGCCAGGGATGGGTTACATCTCTAGTCGTCTTTCATTGACATGTTCAATAAAAATATGAGTGCCATTCCCTTAAGGGCATGCCACTATAAAAAGTTGATTTAATGTACAGAAGAGGATTCAACATGCTGATTGAAAAATGGAACAAAAATAGAAAACATCTATCAAAGTCATTTTAAGATTCCTCACAGAAAAAAGGAAATTATTTCAGATACCCTGCAGTTTTTCCTGTCAACTTTATATGCCATTCATGCTTTTTAGCTTAAGTTTTACCCTCTAGACATCTCCAGTTAACAACATACTGATGTATGGAGATGTCAAAATTTAACGGAAGGAATACTATTGTAACTTACATTATTTCCTTCTAAGTCAAAATGTGTGAAGTTGAGAGAAATCCTGTATTGGGCTGGTGCTACAATCTGCCATACACAGTTCTTGTTTATAGGGTACAAATCTGGAAATGATGGACTCTGAATTGTTCCGTTGAGTTCTTCAATGTACCCACCACACGCATCTGAAACCAACGAAGAAACAATTTCTACGTAAGTACTCACAAGAATCTTGACCATATTCCAAGGAAAATGATTATTTCAAAGCATTTTCTTCCATTTGAAATCCTAGTTCTGATTGAGCCAGGTGTTTCCCTTGACAGCAGTTAGAATTATTAGAATCAAGTGTAATATATTCATATTATGGAGACAGACCCGAGTTCATTTCTAATAAAACCTTATGGTTTCCTTTATTACTTAACTGGGTTAAAATCATATATCACTTCTGGCATGCTATTGGAAACAGTTCATTTCACAAAAAGTGACTTTACGCAAATTGCTCACTTGACTCTCCAACCATCTGTCCTCATTTTCGTCCACATCACAAGTGATATACTTCCAAACATAAACCATAACTTGTGCTTGTTAGTGACTGCAATAGGCTACGACTTCCTTAATGCTTTGCCATACACTTAAGATTACAAACATTACAGTTTTATTGCTTAGATAACAGTTATCTGCTGAAATCGAGGTACTACATTGTACAAAGTGTGGAGTAATCTGCATTCTTTTAATGCCAGACCCCCAAGGGAGGAATCCAGGAGGCTTAGGGGCATTTTTATAGCCTTTATGCTGGTGCTTTAGGACTTGATTCACAGTGTAAATAAAGTGGCACCAGTTGTTAAGAGGGCAAGGCATTACTGCCTTATGCAATGAGTTAAAAAAATTCACCCCCAACCACACTAAATAACACTGCCCTAAGCACTGATTTCTTCAATCTCAATTCTCAACATCATTTTTAGCTCCTGTAAAATGTTGGCTCAAAGACACAAGAGGTTGTAATTTCTGTCAGGATCCATTTACTTCTCCATTTAAACAGTATACTTTACAAGGTTATTTAGCTACATGTGATATACAACCCAACTCAAACAAAAAAAATTAAAAACTTGGAAGACACAAAAGCATCGGTAATTGCAAAAAAGAAATAATAATTGGCATCATGACTTACATAATTACATGAAGATTTAACACAAAGAAAAGCAAAGAAGTTTCACGTTGCCCTGGGCCACCTTTGACACCTGGCACTTTCTGTACGAGACCTGTCACACTGTAATTAGTCATATATAACACCCCAGGTTGAAAGGGTTGCGATCCCCTTGCACTGGAGATAAATGAAGTTTACAATTTATCCTACCTTCTGAGAATGTGCGTGCCTGTATGCATGTATGTATACATTTGTTTATAAGGAAGAGAGAAAGACAACAGTAATTCATTGATAGTATCTTACTATTATACAATAATCAATACATAAAAATGTAACAATATTTCATTTAATGTTCAATAATAATTAACAATATTTCAATCTGTTAACATGCATAGTTTACTGTTATTTAAGATAGCTTCAACCTTCATCAGATTACCTATTTAAAGACATGCATGTTTGACCTTTATCTATTATCTAAAAAGTTCTTCGACAATTTTCCCTTTGTTACCAAAATATACCCTATCCGAAATGATTGAGAAAGTTCTGATAAATGAACTTGTTTTTGAGCTCCTAATTTCTAAAATTTTCACAATTTCAATTCAGACTATTACAGATGGCAACAGTTCATGCATCTTCTAAAAGTGCAGTGTAAGCACTGAGCAAGAAAAGAATCCACGCTAAGCCCAATGAGGAATAAAGACCACAGGTGCTTGCAATTGCTTACCTTCACATTGTTTTCCATCAGAATGCAGCTCATAGCCTATGTGACACTGACACTTGAAGCTCCCCAGAGTATTCTCACACTCATGTGCACAGCCATGGTCTTCCGTGGCACACTCGTCATACTCTGAAAACCAACAAATATTTGAAAGTCAAATATATTAAAAATTATCTTAAATTTGATTATGATATTGTTTTAAAAAGGTAAGTTTTTAAAGATTTGTTTGAAAAATGTCAGGATCCATTAAAACAGTTGATCTCTTACGCAGCTAGTGGCAGGTCATTCCACAGAATATGATAATAGGGCTGCTATGCCACACAGTGACCAGGAGTATGTTTCATATAAAGCTGAATGCTATTTGAAGATCTTGTTTTCATGGTGTTGAGCACATGGCAGTTGACAACCAAATGTACTTGACAAGCAAACAAAACTATTTTGACCACAACTACTTGCCAGGGTTAACCACTGACATTGCAATAATAAGATGTTTGATGGAACGTAGCCAATAATTGGGGTGCTTATCTATGAAACATGCTCCTTCCTGTTGTGGTCCAAACGTCCTTTCCTGTTGCAAACAAATACAGTATTTTATAATATAATATACAAAATATACATATACAGTATCTGAAGATGCATTGGCGAAGAGCTACAATATTAGGGATATTGAAGTTCAGCTCCAAAGAAAAACTGCCACACTTTGCCCTCTTTCCCCCTCCCCAACAAGAGAAAAATAAAACATTTTTTTTTTGGATGCGGTTTGATCAATTAATTCCATAAACCACATCTCATCTGACACCAACAAGATTATGAAAAACAAGCTGCACTCACCTTTCACAAACTGTGCTGAAAATCCTGGTTTCTGCACAGAGCCATCAGATACAAATTTGATATAGATCTTGTTGGAGGTGGACTTAATAGAGTCTGGGATCTTGTATCCACAGAATTTGCCTATAAGTTTTGAGGTGTCCTCATGGCCGTCTCGAATCTCAAGATAGTCATACTGACAGTTGTCATGATTCTCAATCTAAAAATGAGACATCTTTTTATAAATACCTGAAACCATCTCAATGTACTTGGCTAAGATATTATTATTATTATTATTATTTGTCTTATTATTATTTGTCAAATTATTATTTGTAAAGCAGCAGTGCCACCAATGTTTGCCATTATGTTGATCTAGTAATTTGGTTTACCTATGAATCTATTTATAAAGCTATTTTAGCATTTTCCTGCATTTTGTATTTAACATCTCATATACTTAGGTTTGATAAGATAAAAAAGGACGTCAGTATGGGAAAGACTATTTGAGGGCCAAACTGAGGCCCCACAAATAATGGAAACTGTTTTTTTACTTCACTGTACTGCAAAGACTTATCAGCCATGATCAATCTAATGAAAATGTCATGCAGATGCTGAGAAACAATGAAGTTAGAAAGAAATCCAATTTCCTGTCTCAATTTCTCACATTCCAACTCAATTACTTGTTTCACTGAGAAGATTTTTATCTTTCCTGTGTTTGGTTATGCTAACAAATTTTCTTGTCAGTAATTTTTGTCGTTTGAAAGATGTTCTGAGATGAAAATAATGATAACTTTGTCTTACAAAAATGAAACAGCTGATTTATGGTTTTATAAAATAATTCTACAAGATGGTACTGAGAAGAAAACAAAGAAATGACATTTAACATTCAAAGACCATTATGTAGAGCAAAGTTCTGTAACAACTCTGTTTTTATTTCCCCAAAAAGGACTTTTCAGTGCATTCATTTTTTAATTTCATTCAATTTTTAATGTAAGATGATGGTTAAATATCCAGGCCTGTAGCCAGCAGGAGGGTCTTGCCTTTTAAAAAGTGGTCCTCTTTTTATCCCCTTGGTAGATCCAGTGTGAGAAATGGCACAGAACCAAATCTTTTCCTGCCAAAAATGTTATCCTTCTTAACTTCCTAGTACCCCCCTTCCTTTTGCTTATGAGTCTGATATTTTTACCTCAAAAGACTGGAACTTAACAGCCACAGAATACGGCTCCGGAACAGTGATTTTCCATACACACTTCTTGTTAGGTTTGTAGTCATCAGGATAGTTAGAGCTGGAAAGATGGCCCTGTTCCTTGAAGATTTCACCCCCACACACAGCTGGAATCACAAGGAAAAAATGACAGTAATTGCTAGAAGGGCAAATAAAAAACGATAGAATTATTGTTTATTTATTCCCTGTGTTCTGGTGATCAAAATTTTGGTCTATAATTTTCACTGAGAATTGAGAAACACAGTTTGATTCGGCAGGATATAGCATCTACATGCTGATGTGCTACTATATCAACCTGTATAGCAAAACAAACTGCCCGAAAATGAAAAACATCTTTTACAATTATGACACCATAGTATGTATAGAATGGCATAATACACAAAAGGGTAATTGAGCAAGCTGAACCAAGTGGGTAACATTTGGAAAAGTATCAATTCTCATGAGATGGTACATAAATAATAAATGTTCATACTAAATGTGGATTTGTTCCAAAAGAAGTCCTGGGAATATGCTTTCTGCACTACCCTAAAATATAAACCAGTGAAACTCCATGTATATTTTGGTGTTATCCCAAAAATCAAATTGGCGGGAGGTTAATTCTGTAACTGTTAAAAGTTAATGGAAATCCATTTGTCAATTACTGCTTTCATGAGGGATACCATTTCTATCCCAGTTTCTGCACTTTTAGGCAGTACATATGGTGTTTTGTTCATGAGTAACATCAGAGATTTAGCAATTCCTAAAAACACAGGCTTTAACTGTTTGTCCTATCTGAAGATGAAAATCTAGAAATCAAAACTTTCTTAATATGACCTATCATAAAGTCTCAATTTTAAACTGTCAAAAATTCTCTGCCCAAGTTAGGGCACTGGCATTTTGTTGATTGTAAAATGTTGAGATTCTGTTATATGTAGTATTTCGAGCCGAGTGAGTGCTACATGTACATCTTAATCCTAGGATATGCCACAGACAACAGATGTGAGGCCTGTAGCAGGTTTCTTTTCCTGAACATTTGAAACTTTTTATACCCTTTATTGACTTACTAGCAAGAGGTCATAAAACAATGATCAAATTTTTATTTAGCCAAAAGGGTGGTTCCTTTGATCCCCCCCCACCCCTCATTCAAGTGTTCGACTACAACCATACATACCTTCATATTGAGCAGTAAAACCTTGATGGTTTGACGTCCCAGGAAGGGCCCTGTATCGTATCCACATTCTACTGTCACTGGAAACTATTGTGGCTGGTAAGTTGTTACCACAGTATCGGCCTGTAAGACAAAAAATAAATAAATAAATAAATAAATAAATAAATAAATAATGAAAGGTTTAAGGAATATTTCCAGTTTCAGGTCATCACAATTTTCAATGCAAATTACTGAAACTCTTTTTTTTTTTTTTTGAGGGGAGGGGGGAGTGACTTTTCTGATGTTTGCATGGAAAAGTTTTTCAAAATGAACCCCAAAAGAACAAAATTATGACACAATCACTGTAGAATAATGTTTGAAAATGAATAAAATGATCAATTATCAAATGTAAAAACTGACACATTACAAGAGGGAAAAAACTGATTTAAGGTAAAAATGTTAAAAAAAGACACATGAAGACACCAGGCAATCCTTGATAGCTTCATTTCTAAAGAACAGAGAGATTTGGGGCTCCATGATAACTGAAGTATTAGAGATACCCGAAATCTAATTCATATCTTGAGTGAGAGCAAGTTGTGTGGAAAAGCAGTGCAGTACCTATGAGTGGAGATTCAGCATAATGTCCATCTCTTATCTCCACATGATCTGTCCTGTCAACGTAATCCCCTTCCTGACAGTTGGCAGAGAAAGGAATGTCCATGGCAGTAATATTGAGGACAATCTTCTCTCCATGTGTGGCTGAAATTCGCCACTCACAGATCTGCTGTTCATTCGGAACATGCTGTGGAGAATCAAATTTACCACTGGACTCTTGGAGAGTACGACCACAGACTGAAAAATCAGCAATAAAACAGTTAAATCAGGACCCCAAAAATTAACTTGAATGCTTATTAAATGCTCAATAAAATAACAAGGAAATGTAAAATGCACCGATTAATTGTGAACTAGCTTAAACTTTAGATAATGTTGATAAAACTAAATTTATGTGACCTTTTTTTAAAGAAAACATTCCATGCTATAAGTTATAAATATGTACAGGGCACTTTAAGACATGTTAAATTGCCCACTTTTGCCCATATGATTTCCTTTGGCCAAGATGTAGACATTGGAACGGGTAATTTCACCTGTGGCCAGCTGTCAATCATGCAGCTGTCAGTCAGTTTACTCACACCCCCCTGAGTGGATTAAGTGCCACTGGGTAGCTATTATCGCCCACTTCAAACATGATAAATACAAGCAGTAAATTCCTCTCTCCTGATACTGTTATCTGACACAGATAATTAACCCAAGTTGACATCAAAATGCCAGATACTTGGAAATTGAGAAGAATCATCTTAATTACGGTAAACCCCACTATGTCCCACTCAACATAGTTACTTTACAACACCCGTTTTTAATTTAGAAAAACAAACAAAACAAAATGAAGGTCAAGTTTCAAGTTTTTTTTTACAAAAAACAAATAAAAAAATTAGCTGATGAAACATTAAAAGATGAGAAATCTTGGAAGTAAAATGCTAAAAAAAAACTGCTACGAACTCGTTCAGCCAATATACCACTGTTGGTTCCTGTCTATGTTTAAAACACACACAGAGGAGACAGAGGTTGAACCAAGACTGCAGGATGCCATTCTAAATTTTGTTTAAAAGACATGTGTCAAAAATCTGTAAACAGCAAGGTTGCAGGGCAAGGGTAGCTCTTAGTTTACACAAATAAACAGAGTAATGATATTAAATGTAACCGGGGACAGACTTCACTCAGGAATTGGTGTTGATAATCTAGGTTTCAGCTGTACACAATTCTGCAATAACCAAATGCACCCTAGCTGCTGTTGTGCATTAACAAAATGAACATAAACTGTGGTTTAATTCATTGCTGGGAGAAAGGGCAAAGTCATATGCGTCCAACTGAAGACTAATGGCCGACATCACCTGTTGAACAAATAGATTTTTTTTCACCGAATAATTTAAATTTTCTAGTAGACCAGACGCTTTGTGAGTCATTTAAGCTGAAATCTGAAAAGTGAAATTCTAGGTCCCACAAGCATTGATAAAAATTTGTTTTGTGTGGCCCAGCCCCCCTGCACTTGTATGGGGAAACTGTGAAGAATTGGACAGCTGTTATGATCTTGTTACAATGTTATTGGAATATACTTTCTTCTCCATTGGAGCTGAAAAACCTACTTGGGCATCTGTAAAGTTTTTTGGCTTGTGCAATATCCCCTGAACTGAGCTTGATTCTCTGTCCAATTTCAGGTCTGGTTAGAGTGTCTGAATCTCTTCTTGGTAAAATGGTATCTAAATACGTCCCCCTTGAGAAAGTGTTCCTTGCATAATGCATGATGCTGGCAAAGTCATAAGGTTCACCCAATGAATTCACTTCTGCTGCTGAGAGCTTGTTGAAATTATACTCTTGGCCTTTGAAGGAAAAAAATATATACATTATCATCAACTCAATGCAAAAATAATAAAAACAAGTTGTTTTAAACTGATTTAAACAGTTCAAGATAGATTTACATCAGTTTTTTATTGAAACTGTTTTGATACATAGGTAGGAAGGTGAAAAACAACTTATTCAGCAGCTATGAATTAACTCATAAAACTAACAAGACAAGGCAATAAAAAATAGTGGAACACAAAATCAACATTAGCAACATTTACTCCCCAGCCAACAAGCAAGGAGCTATTAGCACAGACCACACACTTTGGTTTAACATCCCTGTACTAGCCTCGGTGAATAAACTTCTGTTACCAGCGAGCAAAAACAAACTTTGGATAGGTAACGAAATAATGAGTGCCACTTTATAAATACCCCCATTCTATTCAAATCTAATTTTGTGGTGCGTTTTCCTCATTATCCCCCATCTGGTGTATGTTGGAGTAGCAGGGCAACTCCTGGGAGTGCCTAGATCACCATAATAACAATACAGAGTATTCACCTCTGGACACTGTGATCACACACTCTAGGTGTGCAGATAAATATTTCTGTGGCCAGAACAAGCTGTCACTTCTCTGACTGGCAGGCAGAACTTGCCATGGATGAAATGATACACAACATTCTTGAACTAGCTACATGCCAACATCATGTCAAAGTATGACAGGACATCACACTAAGGGCTGGTGACGGTGTTAATGCAGGCTGGTGAAACCCACTGCCCCTCCCCGGGTAATAAATCACCAGCCCTGGCCGTGCTGCTTCATCAAGATTAATTAACCAGACTGAGTGAAAGCTAATTAACTGATTCAATTACCAAATCCCATTTAGGCTATCATGCTGTATACACATGGGACCTCTCTCATTCCACCCAGCCCTTGTGTTATGCACATACGCTTTTTGAAGTCACACACAATATTGCATCAAATTACTGATATATTTCCTTGTACAGGGTTATCCCTGCTTAACAGCTGCTGCGCTTTTAAAGCCAAAGTCACTCTTATAAATTGGATAGAATAAATTTAGATCCTTAAAAGACAGTTTTATCCAAAGAGACTGTATAGCAAAATTTAGAGCACTGCCTGTGTAGAAACTTGCATGATAAATCTGTACCATTCTATGGTTGGAAAACAGGCCTGTGCATACCGAACATCCCAATCATGAGACAGGACACTATTAATCTGACAACTTAATTTAAGGTCCCTTTAGTTCTTCCTGGCATTTTAGACAAGTGCCAAACTTGGCATGGTTAAAAATAAAATTACAGAAGTCTCTGCCCCTGGATGTTATGTGAATATGCCACTGCCTGAACAGCTTTGAGGCTTATGAAAGCAAAAACACAGGAAAAGTATAATAAATACTTCTTAATACAAGCACACTTCTTTTAAGGTATGGCCAAAGTATAGGTGCACATCTAAAGCTAATATAACAATCTAAATACAAAAAGTAAACAGACATTTGTTTGAGGACATGTATTAAATCCTTAAATCATGGGAGCCAGGAAAGTTTCCAGTTAACCCTGCAGGAGGCAACAGTTGAACTGATTGAGAAGTGGTCAGCCGACAGGTTGTTAATCAGTCCCTACCTGGCATAATGTTTTCGTAAATTATCTGCACATTTTTATCCCTGTCGGGCCTGGTGTGTTCGTGCCAGAATCCTATAACGTGACCCAGCTCGTGCACCACGATGCCAAACTTATCACAATTCTTGCCGATGGAGATGGCTTGAGGTCCATTGCCACGCTTGCCCACAAATGAACAGCAACTGAAAGAGAACAGCCACTGTGAGGGCAGTGAAATAAAATACCCACCCAAAGAAAGAAATGTAACAAGAAAAATTGAACTAAGAGCTTCAGAAATATCTGACAATAACCTTCAAATAAGTAATATTCCATGTGAGTACTGCCAGCAATATTTCTGAGTTTTCTATTGTTTCTCATCAATATTGTTCAAATCCAGATTCCACATACATTTTTTTAAATATCATTTTATCAACCCAGTACCAAAAATATTAACGAATAACTTCAACAATATTTATTACCTCAGAACCATTTATTACAAACAGGCACAAAAAGAGTTCACTGTTTCAAAGCAAAGAAAGTCAAATAAATTATCACTAATTCAGAGACATAAAGACAATGTTCCAGTCTGTTTAAATACATGAATGGACATTTCAAGGAGAAAAGAGATAACAGAGAAGGAACCCTGTTCTAAAATACCATCACTACTTCTACACTTAATGGGCCAAACACTGAGATAATTGAATTAAAAACTATTTCCTGTGCCACTATATCAGGTTTGATTAGTAAATCTGATCCTATGTCCCTAATCTGGGCTGAAGTGCTGGGCACCTCCAACATGTGGGAGACAAAACTTAAGAAACCATTTCACCAGTGATATGTGCCAAAGATTTTAGCAATCCTCAAATATATAATATTCCAACTTTGCTAGCAATAAGGATTCCTCAGCTTTCTAGTTTTTGTCATCAAAAATACTGGTCAAATCCACATACATTTTGAATCTCATTTTTATCAATCCAGTTCAAGAGGCTACTAGGTACAAACACGCTCAAACTTCCAGGCAGTCTGCTGGAAAAATTCAACAGATTTTTGGTACAATGAGAACACCTGTAAATAACTGACATTTTCACTTTTAAAATCCACCAGCAAATGTCTTTTTACACTTGAGATAAAATTTCCTGGCATAACTCACTATGAACATGAAAGAAAACTAGCTGTTTGTGCACACCACAGCTCTCCATCAGACCACCCCAGAAGTGCCCCTGACTCCTCCCATACAGACTTTAAAGCAGGTGTTATCAAAGGAACAATTTACAAGAATATTGCAGTCTTGCTGTCAACAAGAGCAAATCTATCCAACCTACCCATCATAACTCCTTAAGCTCATTTTTCACCCTGCTCAGGATATTGCTCCCTGTGTTATGAGAAAAACTTTCATTTGTAACATTTCATTTTGGGATCTATGAAAAAAACCTTGGTTCTACATTTCCTCTTTGTGTTTATGAGAAGTTCCTTTTCATCATTTTATCCTGTCATTACATACCCACATGGTCTCTCAGTGAAAAGAATGTAATTGTAGTCCTCATCTGTTTTTTCCACAAAGGTGACGCAAGTGTGGTTCTCCCAATGACGCATTGCCTGCTTGAATAGAGCTTTGTGTTGACCTGAAAACACAAGAGATTCTCCAGAGATCAAATTTTCAAAGAAAAAAAGTAAAAAAACAGTAAACCTGTATGCCATACATCTCAATCCCACACTCTTATTTTGAAAAAACTTTTACCATTATCTGTTACATTTTGCAGTCACAAAACAATTAATTACATTTAACAAGAAGGTAATGACTAACAAATTTTCTAAGTAATGAAAAAATTGGGTCGATTCCAAATGGAACATTCTTATTGTTATTTATTATTAACTTATTTATTTAATTTTGGTGAGTGGGGAGCATCCTTGCCAATATTTCCCACAAAAAAGGGGTCCCAATGCATTTGTACAACACAATAGTGGAGCTAAAAAGAATGACTTCTGTTCATCGTGCTGTATGTATCTTTACCAAATTAAAATGGCACACAAGGCATCATGGTAACAGTTTCAGTAAAAATTGAATGGTTTAATAATACAAACCTGCTGTGCCATTAAAGAACCCTCTAGCCTTATAGCCTGCAAATATCATTATGTGAACAAATGCCAAGAAAATGCATGAAACCAATAGCTTAACTTATTAGTGGGAGTAGGCAGTAATGCACACTTTTTAATTTTAACAGCCTAACAACAAGTATCTTGTTTACAAAGAAACTAGTTATGGGTGGTTAAGATTTCAAAAAAAAAAAAAAAAATTATGTATAATAACGCTCTTCTTTTTACTTTCACAGTCCTATGATTGTTGAAATATCTCATGTGTTGAATATCAAAACTGATTACATACCACTGAAGTTTGCATTGATCTCATAAGGAATCACTCCATAATCCCACAGTCTTTCTGGCCTGGCAGTGGCCGCTCTTTTGTGGACAGAGTGATGCATTTGTTTCTTTGTTCTGGAGTGTCCATGTTTCCTGTGCCTAACATTAAGAAACAACCTTTAACTAAACATAGGAAAGAAAGTTGAAACTATTTCTAGATTTAATTGCCAATTAAATAAGACACTGGGCTTTTGATAGAAAAATATTTTTTTTTTTGCGTGATACCATTTCTCTTGCCATTGAGCGTAAGGTGAACTAGGTACCCCAAGGGTACATGAATTCTTCACAAATGTCAGAGGTGAGTGTCTAGACTACTTTGCAAACAGGCCGTCAGATCCAATTACAAAAAATTGTTTAGATTTCCCCATTTTGGCATAATAGAACAGTAATTACTTCACATTGGGCTGCAATATAATATTCTTTAAGCATCCATTCATTTACAAAATGATATCAGAGAAAGTATTTCTAAAATGAATAGCCTAATTTATTCATGCAATATACATTCAGTTTTTATATAAATTCTAAAATGCAAATATTTGCCATTTTTAGACAATTGGAATGGGATTAGACCAAACTTTGAAAGTTACAAGTGCAAAACAACCCAGTTTTCTTTATACACTGACCTAAAATATGTGGTCTAATACCTAAAAAAGAGAACTTCTAAATCTCAACCCCATCAAAAGGTGATATTTATTTAGTGCCACAGTCATATTTATAAATATAATAATCTAAACAGATTTGAACATGCACATATCAGAAGTATGTGGTGGAGATCAAACAATCCCCTTGTAATATTACATGATACTATGTGACAAATCTGATGTCTCATAGAGCACACTCTCTAAATCAACAATGTCTATCTTACAGAACTATTTTCATGTTCTTAATGTAAGTAAGGTTATGCCCCCTACCTTTTCCTATGGTTTCTTTGTCTTCTGTGTTTATTGCGAGGTTTTTTTGATCCACGTTTGCTTTTGTGAAGACGAGATCTTGTGAGTTTACTAATGTTTTTATGTAGTTTCTTGCCTTCTTCTCCTCTATGGCTGGAAATAACGGGAACAGACTTTGGCGGTTCTCTTTTATTGTCTATTATTTGTTTTAAAAATTGTATATCCTCTTTTGCTAATGCTATATCTCCTATGAAAGCACCTGGAAATTTGTAAAAAAAAAAAATTAAAAATTACAAAGGTAGTCTAGATACCAACTTTACCTCAAAATACCACAAAATTATGTAATCCAGTCTTGAGCGTAAAGATAAGGAAAATCCATGAAACCAATCTATTCTACTTTTTTTTAAATATTATACAATGACCTTTCTTAAGACTTCTAGCAGGATTTCTGATGTTTTTTTTATTTTCTGATGCACCACTGAAATAAAATACTGGGTCACGGTAAATAATGCCGTGGACACAAAAGATATATTTGAAAACTTCAGTAAAAATGTTCTCCTCCCCACAGAGTAAGGCTCCGTTCACATGGAAAATCCATTTTCTAAAGATCTAAAAATCTATTTTCGGTATCTTGTGATCACGGTCTGTGCCCTGGATACCCCGCGGCGTAATTACTGGCAGCGTAGAGCGAGATACTTCCAAAGCTGTAATTAATTCTCGGCTGCGCTCGGAGGAGATTCTGATACCTTGACGCATGTGCAGTAGGAAGTTAGAAAGTAAATGGCAGTTGCGGTTGCTTTGAAAAATGTGTTTGTCGATTTTGTGCAACAACAAGACGAAGAAGATGAAGAAGCTATACACACGACAGATATGAGTGCAACCGGCATGATCCGATGGCAAGCGATGCGTCAAGGTATCAGAATCTCCTCCGAGCGCAGCTGAGAATTAATTACAGCTTTGGAAGTAACTCGCTCACGCTGCCAGTAATTATGCCACGGGGTATCCTGGGCACAGACCGTGATCACAAGATACCGAAAACAGATTTTTAGAATTTTAGAAAATAGATTTTCCATGTGAACGGAGCCTTAGGTGCCTGTTGCCCTAGCCTGACAGTGACAGGGGCAAGACCATGAAGCCTTGCCACAGGATGTATACATGAAGTCAGTATTACATGTACACTGTGTGCTTTCTGCCAAGCTGTGTGTGAAATGAACAAGTGGATAGGAAATGTCTGTATTTCTATGTAGAGACACAGAAGTGACTCCACACAATGGCCAGGTAATGGAGCATGTTATGACACCTAAAGGGTGAGCCAGTACTCCTCCTTCCTCCATTGTGATTTACACACCTAATAAGTATTATTTACAATTATTTTAACCTCCTGCTGGTGTTTAAATGGATCCATGATACGTTTAATTCCGACCATGGACAGAGTTTCAACAACCTCTTTCAGACAACAATGGGTGATCTTGATACGTATGTAGTTACAGTTTATTGGTAAACTTGACACCATTCAATTAAATTCGCTAATGGGAATATTATGAGAGCCACAGTTGACGTTTAATTTTCTCGATCCTGTGTGTGTATACATAGTTTGAAACCTAATATCCTATTCAGGCTCATGACCAGTGTCAATCATCGGATTTTGACACGTCGGCCTATTCTAAGTACATTTTCTCTACTAATAATAACGGCATATGACAGAGTTTGCAAACGCATTACCCGCGATTATGTGCTACACTACTCTAAACGCATTTCCACGCGCATTGTTAAATTGCCTGCATTTCAAGAAGAAGAAGAAAGTGAAAACTTACCAACTTTACAAGGGTCCATGTAGAGATCATTTGAAGTCCTATGTGGATACAGTTGACCATTGTGTAAACTGGAGTTCTTAGACCTCCCGTCCACGTGTTTTACCAAAAATGTCAGAAACGCATTCAATGTAAATACTGTAATGAGCATTTTAAATAGTTTGAATAATCAGTTGGGCTACAAGTTAAAACAAGATCGCTAAGTATTCCACTTCTGATTCCTTACACTCCGTGCTCCATGTGCGACGTTATACTTTGCAGTTTACTCTCCCACGCAACTGGCTGGTTCACGATTCCACATAAATTCCAATTTTGTGTGATGTGGAAGAAAGAGCAGTGCCGCGGTGAGAAGTTGGCAAGCTAAGCTCTGACAGCACTGGAAGTACTGCAGCTCTACATCCAGCGCCTGACAGATTTATAATTGTACCCTAACGACACCCTTGTCAATATTCATTAGCCGGCAGCCAATGGGAGGCACGGCTTCGGCCTGAATCCTCTCAGCGGGTTCGACTGCTTGGTCCGATGACTTGTTAGTGTCAGCATTCAGTACGTTCTACACTTCACACATGAATGCTCAGCCCTTGATGGGGGCGGGTTAGAAAAATAACTTACCCTAAGGAGTGGAAGGGCTTGGTTACACCAAACTTATTTCCACGCGGCACTCGTTCTCTGTACACGGACTAGTGCGTTCTTTGACACCGGGCTTCTTTCACAAAGAATTAAAGCAGGATTTAATACGTTTAAATGTTTACAGGATCAAGTACTTCCCCGCCCTGTGCAAACATGAATAGCGTAAATGTCTCGATGAGCTGATTAGTCCTTTATACTTGGGGGTACCTGACTCCGGAACAAGGTAATTCGTGAGGACGATGATTGCCCGCGGGGATGTTTTAACCCGCGAAAACCCAGTTATTGTTCGCACACTGCCTGTTTTCTGGGTTTACGAGGCCCCGACATGTATAAGAATCAGAGTGCATATTATTTAACTGTTCTTTTTTTTTCGTTGGGTGTTTATTAAAACATTCGGCGCTCTACGGTAAATAAATAATAAATTCCCCCACGCAATGCCACATAACAATCCCTGCACAGAAACGCCAGTCCTGCGATGCGGTAGTAGTGATAGCGGGCACAATCGATCTCAAACGCTGGGAAACGAGATATTATGAACACTGTATGCATGCGTTGCTTTAGGCTGTATTCCCAGAGTTTTTAGATCGATCTATCCCCGCGGAGAGTCTCACTAGATTACTGTCAGATAATCTGGCTTAAATGTCCGTCCCGCCTACTACAAGCTGTTAGGGGGGTAATTAACTTTCGTGTCCGCCCGGCTGACAGCTATTTAGCGTGAACCCCCAGGGAGTTAGGTCGATCTAAAGTAGATCCATCTAATCTCTGGAAATGGGGTCTTAGACAGACGTCGTCTTTGACTATAAACTTTGCTTGTAGCTACTTCATGCATCATTTGTGTTAAAGAACACATTGGATAATTCAATTCAAATTGAATAATTCCCTTTTCTTTCTAATACTATGTAAACCCAATTTTGGCCAGGAAGGGATGAAAAATTTTTTTCTGCAATATTGTGTCAGGTAGGTGTGTTTGGTCATTTGTAGTGAGGGTAAAGTACTGAAAGAGTGGTTGTATCATTATTAAGGAAGAAATAGAGCAAAAACTCTCTCCACACCCCCCCCTCTCCAAATCCTGTTCTCAGGTGTGCTTTCTGGCAATCTTTAAAGCTGAAATTGGGGGCTTTAATGAAGTGATCCGGGCGCGTTTCCACATTTTTTATGAATGATAGGTGTGGTAAATTGATTTTCATCACTTTTTGGAAAAATTGGTGACGGGTCATTTTTGGGTGATTTTGAGTGATTTTCGTAAGGTCCAGATATGACAGTTTTCTTCAATTTTGGCCAGGTAGGGATGAAAAATTTTTTTCTTTAATATTGTGTCAGGTAGGTGTGTTTGGTCATTTGTAGTGAGGGTAAAGTACTGGAAGAGTGGTTGTGTCATTATTTAGGAAGAAATAGAGCAAAAACTCTCTCCACCCCCCCTCTCTCCAAATCCTGTTCTCAGGTGTGCTTTTTGGCCATCTTTAAAGCTGAAATTGGGGGCTTTAATGAAGTGATCCGGGCGCGTTTCCACATTTTTTATGAATGTCAGGTGTGGTAAATTGATTTTCATCACTTTTTGGAAAAATTGGTGACGGGTCATTTTTGGGTGATTTTGAGAGATTTTCGTAAGGTCCGGATATGGCAGTTTTCTTCAATTTTGGCCAGGTAGGGATGAAAAATTTTTTTCTTCAATATTGTGTCAGGTAGGTGTGTTTGGTCATTTGTAGTGAGGGTAAAGTGCTGGAAGAGTGATTGTGTCATTATTTAGGAAGAAATAGAGCAAAAACTCTCTCCACCCCCCCTCTCTCCAAATCCTGTTCTCAGGTGTGCTTTCTGGCAATCTTTAAAGCTGAAATTGGGGGCTTTAATGAAGTGATCCGGGCGCGTTTCCACATTTTTTATGAATGACAGGTGTGGTAGATTGATTTTCATCACATTTTGGAAAAATTGGTGACGGGTCATTTTTGGGTGATTTTGAGTGATTTTCGTAAAGCCTGGGTCACACTGCGCTTGCAACCTTTTGGCAACCTCTTTGCATCGTCAGTCGCAAGGAGGTTGCCATAGGTTTTAAATTGGTCGCATAAGGTTGCTAACTGGTCGCCTGCGATCGGTGACACACGAAGGCCATTTTTTGTGCACCGACAACCAGTGCGACTAATGATGAAAATTATCGGTATCCTAAAGGTTGCCTATCGGTCTCTTCTTGGTTGTCAGTAGGTTGCTATAACCAGTAGCATACCATTTGCAACTGCACGGTTGATTGGCCGTATTTAGTCGACTGGTCGCTTACAAGTTTTTTACCAGTGGCAAGTAGTCGGCAGCAGGTCGCCAGAAGGTTGCAGTTGTAACTGCATAGTCGATTGACGGTCTTTAGTATCTTGGTCGCTAACAGGTTTTTTACCGATTGCAGGCGTTCGAAAATATGTCGCAGGAAGGTTGCAAGCGACTGCAATAAAATAGGCGTAGGATGGTGGTCTATTCGGGCAAATTATTTTTCATCTGGCGTCTGGAAACTACACTTGGTCTTATCTTGGTCGCGCAGGTATAAAATATTGCCAACAAATGCAATTTATGTTTTCTTTTTCTAAAATATTAAAATTTGTGAGGCTTTCATTTACCAGGTATTTCACACGTACGAAACCAAAAAAAAAAATGTGATGATAAAAGCAATTTATATTTTTTGACGCTACGTTTATATATTTTATCATTTTGCGAAAATCATAGGTAAAATGCCGAAAACCTCAATTATATATCGCTGTATGTTATTTAAAATTTGCAAAGCCATATTATCAGAGTAAACAATGAAACAAATACACGAATGCAGAGAAAACGGAAAATAAAAGCAATTTAATCAACAAGGTATAACTGCTATTTAATATCATAATTTCAACATCAAAATTATCCACAAATAATTGAACAAATCGTAAAATGTGTCCAATAGACTTAAATAAAAATAGTTTCAACACAAACAATTTAACATCTTCCCAGTGCTTGGTATCCTCACTACAAGGATGAGAATGTAAAAAGTACACGATGCGCATGACTTGTCACGATTTAATTACGTTGTATTGTAAGTGGCAAACGCCTAGGGTTAAAAAGACAAAGGGAAAACCACACATTCGGTTGCAAATCAGTTTCAAAGCAGTCGGCGACCTGTTAGCAACCGGTTGGATACCACAAGTAGGTTTCGGTCGCCAGGAGGTTATCGGTGCTGCACCGAAAACCGGCGCAACCGGATACTAACCCAGCGTTCATTTGGAAACCACTTTGCGAGTTGTTGCAACCGGTCGCCGACCTTTTTGCAACCGGTGACAGTTGCAAGTTGCAAAGAGGTTTTTTGTTCAGTGTGACCGTAACTGCACAGGCCTTGCGACCTCAAAGAGACCAAGTATTTGAACAAGAAAATATTAAAGAGTATTATGAGATTAATAAGGATTAAAACGTTTGCAAGTTTATGTTTTTATTGCAGCACTGGTTTCGTTAGGTGAGGGTGTAGTCTTTTCAAAAGTTCACAAAACATTATTAATTCTATTTTTAGGAAGGAAATGAAAACTTCCTGATTTTCAAGTCGAAGTTCTTTCATCAAATGTTTGTAATCGCCTTACAAGGGGCGTCTTGCAATCCACGGGTTCACCCAGTATTTTCGAGTTTTTTTACTCGTTTTACTTCTTAGGTAAACAAAGTCAATGATTATAGCAGTCCCGTCTTTTTGAAAAGGAGTCGTTTTACTACAACATTTTTGTCTTTTGAGAGGGGAATTTATGGGAAAGCAGCTACTGTCACAAGTTGGCAACATATATACTGAACAAAAATATAAACGCACGAAAGAATATGTTGATTTCTTTTCATGTATGGAATAAGAGTATATGGCCAACATTAACAGCCTATTTTCCTCAACAAATAGACATCACTTTGAGAGCATTAAGGGAAGTTTAAATGCATAGTCCAAGAGTTAAGGCATCAACTACACCATGGGGGTCAACGTCCTGAGTTCACATCAGACACTAATAACAAGTATGGCCACCATCAGCTTCGCACAGAGCAGTACACTGGCAGCGCATGGGCATCACCAAGTTGTCAATAGTGGCCTGAGGGATATTATCCCATTCCTTCTGGAGTGCTACTGGCAGTTGGCGAACATTCTCGGGAGCTGGAACATGATGACGAAAACGCTGATCCAGAACATCCCACAGGTGTTCGATGAGCGACATATTGGGTGTGGTAACACATGGTTGGCGGATATGTGGGCGGTTCCTAATGCTATCAGTGTCTCTGAAGCGTGTTCTCAGACGGCTGACAGTGGAATGATGCACATTCAGGCATGCTGCAACTTCTGTTACCAACAAGCCAGCATTGAGCATGCCGATGCAATGCTCCCTCATGATTTCAGACATCTGTGGCATGTTGATAAGTGACAGAAATGCACATTTTGGTGTGTCCTTTTGTTGCATAGACTGTAAGGAGTGTCTGTGTATTGGTCATGCAGATTGACCTCCACTTGGTCATGCTCCATTAGTCTTATGGGTGGAAAAACTAAACCTTTCAGTATACTCACGGGGAGCATCCAAGTGAAGCCAGACCACTATACTTGATCAATACAAATCCATCAATTCACAAATAAACCATCAACTTTGGCATATTTCATAATTATCCATTTTAACTGACCATTTTAGTTTCGTGCATTTATATTTTTGTTCAGTATATGTTCTGTGCGACCTTGCTGCTGCCAGTTGACAAGCGATTGCTACAGTCCTGCAACCGGTTTTCGGTCACCGAGTGGTTGCAGACAGGTTGTGTATCGCTCGGCAAACAGTGTGGGACTGGTAACCTATAAATTGAAGATGGTCTATAAGAGGTTGCAGATACCATACCGGTTTGCGACTGCTTGCCGATCAAAATTGGCCACAGCTTCTTAATTAGCTTGCAAAGTGATTGCAAGCGACCGCCAGATTTTGTGGTTGAAAAAAGGTTGCAAAAAGGTCGCAAGCACCGATATTTTGTAATTTCCTATTCAACATATTTGGCCTATTGATACATTGCAGCCAATTTCGGCATATCAATTTTACCAAGAATCTGAAGTGCATGTCAAATAACCTACTTAAAAATACAAACGCTGTTAAATGAACTCTACTATTTAAATGTTTTATCCCTCAAGTCGAGCAGGTATCGCACAAGTCACGAAGAAGTGGGCGCCACGTGTCACGTTACTTTCCATGTAAACCCTGCACTTTTGTGTAACATCAGTAGCAAGCAATCACCTGAATTATCTGAATATAGACAAATCACATGCCATATTAAACTACTTGAACCTGCCTTCCTCTTCTTAGATAAAAACAATGGGAGCCGATTTTGTGGTAGAATAAGAATCGTAAAATCCATGGAAATAGGAAAGGGTTAGAAAATTTTTTGATTACTATAATTAATGAAACTGACAAAGATGACAAAGACCTGAGGAAAAAACAGAGATTATAGTCGAGACATACCTCATGAAACGCTTTTTGATTACTTTTTATTTGCGATGCCACTTGAAATCACGTTATTCACCCTTTTTAGAATGCGTGTGTGCGTGCGATATATTTTTTTTTCAGAATGTACTGTTCTGTTCTGAATGAAAATTATTTTCATTATTTCTATAGGCGTTTTGAGCCTACGTGAGTAATCACGATTTTTCTCTCTCTCTCTCTCTCTCTGAAGTTTAGTCTCTTGAAGCGTGGCATTCTTATGTCATATACAATAACTCTAAAGATTACTCGCATACTTCTTTTATTCTTTGTATTGATTCTGTATAAATATCACCACCAATAACTGTAAACATTAGGGTGAAGAATACACTTGTTCGGGTTTTCAACATTTCCCAATCATGCAAAACACTACCCAAACAAATTCTATTGATCAGTTTTTGACCCGACTCAGCATATCGACATTTCTACCATCTGGGATTGACTTCCAATGTAGGAAACTTTTCACAATATTAAGTTATTGGTTTTTTTTCTTCAAAACATATTGTTCGGTGGTAAAGGCAAGATTCCTAAACATAATTTTCGTGACACCATTAACTCACGCTACATAGAGCTGCTGGATCGATTCCATTTTCTGCTTGTTAGATGCGATCAGTATACATGTAGGCCTATATACACCATTTAATCTGCCATAATTTTTTATGATCATTTGAACTCGATCGTCCTTTAATTGTATCCTGTTGTTATCACTTTTAGGCCTAATGTGTGTGTGTGTGTGCGCGCGTCTGTGATTATACTTTTTAATCAATCATTTTTCTACGATTATTATCATAATAATTTATTGTCTTCTAAGTTTACAATAATTTTGTGGTTGCATGCCTTTAGATTTGTGCGTGTTGATCGTAATGCTTGTGCCTTTTCTGATTGTATCTAATTGGCCTATGTGAAAGTGAGACTGAGCACTGAACGTGCGATTAGAACTGAAAATCCAGAAAATCCGTTCATTACTAGATCGAGATTATCCGGGCAGAATCCGTAACACAAAATATAAATACACTTGGTGATTTCACCACCGACATACCATACCTTGGGCAAATTCGACATATCATAGAAACTTTAGGCAAATCGAAAAAAGGATAGGTGGATAGGCCTACAGTGTAGGCTACTGGGTTTTAACTGCTTCAAGTAGGCCTACCCGTAGGCCTACTAGTGCAGGTGTATAGGCCCTATACATGTCCGACATTTTGGCGGTCAAGCAGCTAAGGCATGACAGAAAACCAATTACAATAATAATAATAATAATTTATTCAACTTTTACAACGTTACATTTTAACATATGCATTGTTCGCTGTCTGAGCTACTTCTAACAATATAGCCTACTCTGTTATGCTTACATTAAGTCGGCCTAATAGTTAGAATCTTGCTGTTTGTCAAAATTAGCCGGTTGTATCATTATATGCCAATGGTAGGCTACAAGCTTATTAAAGGCATATAGTAGGGGGGGGGGGGGTCTTTAGATAACCTTTTTCCCCAAAACCGTGTCAAAACCACCTAAAAAGATGCTTATAGGCTACATCTTAAAAACAAATTACAAAAACCAAATTAGGCCATCTCTATTATCAGAGCTGCTACTTGGGTTTTAGTATTTTGGAGAAAAATCACTAAAAACAGATGGGTTTTATATTTGGTTTTTAAGAAACTTGTGTAAAAAGTTTATTTGAAAGATAGCTAAATAGGCCCTATATACTCAAAATCATGCCACAACTCGAAGCTCGGTGTGCTGGTCATAACCAACATGTAGCCTACAAGTAGGCCTACATTAATTGCGTCTTCACTTCAGAATCCGTTGGACCTAAAGGTTTCAGCTCCTTATACCAAGTTTTATACCATATGTAAAAATAATCAAACACAAGCCGAAAAACTTTCTTACTGTTACGCCAAACCTGAAGTGAGATAGGCCTACCAGTAGGTCTAGATGTACGTTGTTACTCACTGACCGCTAGGTGGCATAGTGGGTCAGGGTCCCCTTATAAATGTAAGGTGTTTGATAATTTTCATATATGATCCAACTACCAAGCTAATGAACATTTTGCTCAAGTTATAGTCTACATGTACATGTACCGGTACCTGGTACAGTAATACTGTACTGTCCCGGTGTATTCTGCACAAGGTATACAGTCTAGGTAGGCCTACTCGCTTTGATATTCAGTCAAAACCCGACATATCATGACCAACCGGGTAGAATAATAAATGTTATTTGCCACTCATCATGTAGTTAAATGATTGTTTAAAACTAGGATCCATCATATATACATGTACCCCTGCACATGTATATAAAACTGTATAAGCTACCTCCGCTAATCAAGACAGGTCTTGGGAAACGACCTTCACCTTTCATTCATAAGTTACATAAACTATGACATCCCACACGAACTGATTAATTCATTAAATACAGAAAAATACGTAATCATAAAAAAGAAATATATAACAATCCTGCAATCAGTATATATTATTGTTTTCTGATGTAAAATGAAAATATGATTTGGAAGCAATCTGTATTTTATTTAGTATTTAACGTATGACCTAGTTTTGGTTTGTCGTGACAAGATATAAACATGGCTCAAGATAACGGTGTAGACGTGAACTGTAAGATATGCTGCTTTCTACGTGAGTCGACGACGAAGGGCTTTAGGAGACTATCAATGGACATGGTTGCGATAACTTTAGTGTGTTCTCATCGGGAATAGCATAAAACATGAATTACGGGAAGAAATCGTCGCAGACATCATTCGATTCGTAAGTCATATTCAGAAATTCCAGGTGAAGTTAGTGCATTACTACAGGCACTGCACCCCAGTATCTGTCTCTCGTAGCCTATTTCATCTGTCAAGATATCAGCTTATGGTCTGCCCAGATGCAGTCGATATGACAACTCGCCAAATCATGATGTGGTAACATTCTGATGTATAACTAAGCACAGACTGTACGTGTGACAGTGTGAAACTTCACGTTTTTATGTTTTGTCGTTGTTTTGTTTTAGAATTACCAAATATCATGCACAACCTTAATTAAAGCAGAGTAAAATATGTCAACCTGACACCTTGCCGTGTGATATATTTCATCCTTTATAAAATGCAAACAGTTTGTACATCCTCTATAGAAGCTGTGGTAATGATGAGGCAGTGATACAGTTTCTAGTAAGATGATGCACAGTACAGTGCATGCTGCTGTTACATATATACAGTATGTACAATGTACACACGTGTAAGTTGAAATCGTCTGACTTGCAGAAGCAGTTGTTTTGCTCATAACATTTTGTTTGAGAGAAGACCATGCCCATTAGTTAAGTGACCAATCTTAAAAATTTCTGTTGAAAGGTCAGCACCTCATTAGATTCATTCATACCCTCATTGAAAACACATTGGGCCAACACAGACATCACAGGGTCCCTGATGCCCAGGACTCACAGTGCTGTAATGTAGTTTGATATCTTCATCATTTTTTCATATTGAAAATAATGCAACTAGAATTGGTAAGTTTATATCATGGTTTCCTTTATATGTGGACTTGTGGGTTGCATACAGAGAGATTGCATGCAGTGTCAGATACTAGCACTAACATGTACTGTACAGACAGACTTCCAATGGTGTTTTGATCAGTAAATACAGTACGTAAAGCAGAATATGCGATTAAGAATTTGATAAGAATGATTTAGCAAATGTCTGTTACATTTTTGTAGTAGGCACGATTTTTGTTTCAATTATTGCAATATTTTACCAGATGTTTAATATCATATGAAGATATTGTAAATGACCCATCAATAACAGTTGCTTTTGAAGGACTTGTTATCACAATTAATAAGCATTCAAAACCACAAGATAACATAGCAAATACATGCTGAAATCAACCCAATCCTTTCAGAAATGATTAGAAACGCAATTCTATGTAGCACACTTTTTAGGCTTGTAGACTGATAAAGTTACATTGGTTGCCTGACATATAAAACTTCTCATACACCATGGGTAAGTCTACAAGACTACAGGTAATTGATTTCTAATGAGAATGGAACAGAATCTAAAAGGAACAGAGCAAGTTGTGGTGGAGGTGTTATCAACATTTAGCTACTGTTCATATTTTGCTGATCAATTTGTTTTGGTACATGAAATATGACGATAGCAAGATGCTTTTGTATAGCTTAAAAAAGTCTTTGCTTGTTTCAGATGATGTATTTACGAGTAGTTATGTTTGGACTAATTGGACAGGTTTGTGTAACTTCCCAGCTGTATCCATACCAATTCGAACTTTCCTTATATTAATACACAAGGTGATTAACTTGTGGTTATCCATCTGACTATATCCTCTATAGTTTAAAACTGATTGGGAGAAAGATATAAAGAAAGTGAGGTTGTAACTGTATACTTAAATATATAATAACTGTAAACATAGAATATTTGGGAGAAAACCAAGATCTTTTTTTTTTTTTTTGATGAGTGCAGCAGAGCCTCTCCCAGATCATCTCCCAGATCAAAAAAACTGAGGACATAGTTTACAAAATTACAAATGAATAATAATAATAATATTTAAACAATGGTTACATGCACAGCTCCAAGTGCTAGACTGAAGTCTGTGATTATCAGATTTTTCTGTACAACACCAGATGTTTGCCTTTTCCACTTTGGCAATTGAAGAATTCTAGAAAATGAAAAAGAAAATTAGTGAAAATGAAAGACAAGAATCAATGTCTTTTGAAGTGCGAAGCATATGAATTTAGGTGAAAATTATTGAATGGCAGGATACTTGACTTTTCGTGAGAAAGCATCCCATTATTGTTATGATTTTGTTGCACATATTATTATCAATTCTTGTTTTGGCTATGTGGAATGTTACTTCAGCACCATGGCTATGCTGGTCAGTGTTATTTCTTCACATTTAAATTTTGTTTATTGTAGACATGAAAATAGTATGAAAACTGAAATTTGCATATATATATATATATATAAAGTGAAGTATGAAGATTAAACCAGTCTGCCAAAGGTTATACTAAATGCAGTATTATTGAAGAAATTAGTGATGTATTACCTCATGGTCAAATGAAGAATAAAGTTTGAAATGTCATTTNTATATATATATATATATATATATATATATATATATATATATATATATATATATATATATATATATATATAAAGTGAAGTATGAAGATTAAACCAGTCTGCCAAAGGTTATACTAAATGCAGTATTATTGAAGAAATTAGTGATGTATTACCTCATGGTCAAATGAAGAAAAAAGTTTGAAATGTCATTTCCATTTGTGATCAAATTTCTGGTATTGAATAACTAATTGAATTTCAGTACAGATAGGAAAGTCGAATGTTATCACCAAGGTAAAAGACAGTGGTCTTCAGAAAAACTGAGTATTGACACTGGCAAATTTTATTGAGCAACTTATTACCAACACAAAATTAATAATCATAAAATTATCAAGCGAAACAAATCAAATTTTGAGTACCACTTGAAAAAAAAAGACATATTTAATTTTATCAAGATTGTGTTGTATTAATAGTATTGATAAAATTATCAAGTCATCAGATGTGTAATTGCCCGTTTTGGTACTTATGTTGTGGCAAACAATATAGTCAACTACAGTAGTTACAAATGGACTCTCTGACACCTGCATTTCAAGGCCTTAAAGTATGAAGTATATACTAGTTAACAGACCAATTGAAAAAAACACTTTAAATGCAACTTTAGTGTCAAAAGAATGTTAATATGAAGTCTTAATGCCAGTTTGTTTTACATTTTGCAGATTTTTTTTTACCAAAATGCTTTATTTTGATTTATAATTACAATTATTTCTTATTTATTAAACTTGTTCTGATTGCACCCAAAGAGACAGACTTAAGACCACATGGAGAAGGACCTAGAGGCAGAGAGCACATTCAGAACAGTGGACTTGCAGGTCTGCGGACAAATATGGCAACCCACTAAAAAGCTTGCCCTTAATTCCCAATCAGGCACTGAATAGATTTCCCACGGGGATTATGCAACAAGCATTCAAGTGGGTTGGTCATATTTGATTCATGGATCTGTTAAAGACGGAGCTTTTTCCATGTTTTTTAATTCAATTCTGATGCTTCCTGAGATTCGTCAAGGTTAGGTGTTGGGTCTCATGATAAATGTTTGGAGTTTTTTTTTTTTTTTTTGAAACCTAGGCTAATGTGTGTGTTAGCCCGCAGTTCTGAATGCACCCAGAGTTAAAACAAATGAGAGGGAACCATCTAACATCGACCCCGACCCCGTGACGTGACGGTGAGTAGTGGAAGATCTTTGCTGGTGCCCTAGTTGCCAACTGGGCATAAAATGAATTGATGACGATGTCTGTGTGTGCTGTTTGGTCAAAGACAGGAATGCACACTATATGTTCTCTAAATATTTCTATTAATAGAACCAGTGGAAGTTTGTTATACGTTAATTGTTCTTCAGTAGACATGTTGCTTACAAGTTACAACTGTGACAAACAATAGGATTGTTTTGTTGCTAAGGGTGGCAGACAGTTGGCAGACCAAACTTAACAAGGGTGTGAAAGGTCAGAATGCCCACAAGTTTAAAAAGGAACTGGGCAAACAGCATTAGACCCATACTTGAATTAATCTCTGAGTACATATTAGTAAGTTAAGCTTTTTTTTTTTTATTATTATTATTATGCAGGGTGTGTGGGGGGGAATGGTAAAAATACATAGCAAATTAACATTTTATAGATATAATTATATTTATCTTTAATGTAAGCATTCAATATTATTGTGATGTAAGTCCAATTTGTATTTTACTAAGATTAAAGTCTTGCAGAGTTTCAGTTATCAGTTCTTTCAGCAAAATATATGGCGTTTTTAAATTGTAGTTTTACTCCATGTCACCACTTAAAATCACCACCAAGCATTGAACAGCACATGGTGCAATATATATATATTTCTAGTACTTACTGGTTTGAGAATTTAAAAAGAAGAATGTTAGCTGCATAGGGATGTCAAGGAAATGATGAAGTAGATGTGACATACAGTGCACTGTGTACACACACCCATACTGACACAGTCTTGCATCATTGGCTACATCAAAATAATAAATTTTCCTGATGCCATTAGAAGTTACAGCAGAAATTATTCTGATGTAAACCTACATGTATTTGTGCTAGCTTTAATTTTGCTCCAGTTTAGAATCTTATATTTGCCATGGTACATGACACACTGGGGTTTTACATAATTTCATAGACAGGGGACCCAACCAAAGAATTACAGGTATATTAAAATATACTAGGATCTAGCTAGGAGTCAATAATCTTGTGTTTGATCCTAGCTGTTATCAAGGGTGTAACCACTGTCTGTATATTTTATAATATGAACATACACTGAATGAATACTGTCATAGTATTTATTGCTGTAAGCCACTGTGTTAAGAAGTGGTGGTGCTTTTTATGGAGATGAGCCAAGGACTTCCATCATTAATTATTCAAATGGATACCTTGTGCCCATCCATGTTGTGGCTGTCTCACCACCATTGTCAATCCTATTGTTTAACCTAGGATCCACTGAACAGAACTGATTGTGATGGTCCAGGTAGTTCTCCGGCAGTTTGCTAGGGATAGGATATCTCCACTCAACAAACTTTCCCCAAGATGTTCACAGATATTTCTCTCACTTGTTAGTTACAGTGGGCTCAGTCTTCAGCTGGGATAGTATAAACCTTCGCCTTCGGGTTGAACCTGTCAAGTGAGAAATTTTGTTAAGTGAGAAGGGGAT